GGGACATATGGGAATTACTTCATATTGAGCCGGAGCGAAAAGACCGGTAGTTCGTATTCCGTATTTTAAACGAATATGCGGATCAGCGTGACAGAAGCCGAAATCAAGCAGTTTTAACTCAACTGCGAATTGGAAAAACCTATAATGTAAGGGTGGGGCATAGTAAATGCAGAAAATCTGTCGTTAAAGTGAAAAGTGGGAAGAATCCTCCGTAATTTGTAGAATACCTTCACATTAATTAACGTATTTTAAAGGAACCGTCTTGTAAGGTAGTAAGCAACTTATGAGAGTCCGAAAAATTTCCACTGGTAAATATTTATCCCAGTTGTTTTCCCCAGTTCCTAAACAATGAAAAGTGCTTTGGTTAATGAATTCATTCGGTGTGTTGTAATTGCTGCGTAGGATCCCAGAGAACAGGCAATCAGCTCGCCCAGGCTGCTTTGGTTTTTGAAATATAACTAGGGTTTAAGCGATTCATTCTTGCTGCAATATTGATTGTGGTATGAAAAGGCGCTTAGAAACAAGACCCGTAACTCGGATTTTGATTTGGAGGTAATCAACCATCCATCAAATAAGGGGCGGAAGCCACTACAAGTGGGCACCCCTAACAGTCATTTTTGGCAAAACAAGATGCGATTTTGGGTGGACTTCACCAAATACGCATATATCAGACGTTGTTAAGTGCTGGTTTTGGCGATTTAAGGAAGATGTTACCGTAAACTCATGTGAACCATATCAATTAAATTGGAAACAAAAAGTTGGTGCCGATGCTTCACGAAAGCACATAAACTTCAGCAAAAGGCCGTACCCACAGTCGCTTTAAAACTACGTAAGGTATGCGATTCAATTAAATACTTTGGACAAATCGGGGTAGATTACTTAAATCAAATAGATAGTATGTGCAAATACATTTGCCAAGTTCATTTTCCAACCATTTCTCTAGCAATTTATTTCAAAAGACAATGTTTAAATAAGCGTAATTTAACAGGCTATGTTTAGAAAGCATTGGAAACAATAGTTGATAACCTAGTAAGGTTGTTTTATTTCCCAACCTCTTAACCCAGCCATTCAAATGATGAAGTAAACTCTTTATTTTAGTCTGTTGGGTTTCGCGTTTATTTCGCGTGATTATGGCCAATAACGTATATTTCTCCCTCCTTCCTTCTGAGATTTGTCGTCTGGTTCTGGGTACGTCTGCTGGGCGTATACTTATGATCTATATTACGTCGGAGTATCTTTATACATCCCTTAGTACAGTTTCCGTAGCTTTCATTGGGTGAAGTTAGTTGTTTTGTGACCTGTTGCTTAACTCAGCCATGCTTAATTTTAGGCTACCTTAATGATCTCGGATGCGTTCAAACATTCAATACATTTTTTCAAGAATGCGCGTACCTAGAGGAATTGCGTAAGGAGACCCAAACTGGATGTACAATGACTTATCGTGTTGGTGGCTTTACATTAGTGGAGATTTTGAAAGACTACTTCACTATTGCCAACATGGGCAAGTCCTCATATTTCATGCGTTATCTTATTAATTTGTGTGCGTTAATACTTGTTTCCTTTTTCACGACGTCTAGCAAATGAAAAACGAGAATCAATTATTCGAAAATGGACCGACGCTTCCCTTCCAAACTGTCATCCTGGTGAAGTAGCACCACTTTTAGTCTGCCTCTTTTCTGACTCCCACGCCATAGAAACCGCGCTTTCACCCCCTCAAGGCCCTGGTCACATCACTACACCTGTCAGAACACCAACTTTGACGCCAGTCGTCTCCCTCCCTTCAACGTGTTCTCCTCGCCGCATTACCGTTCTGCGTTCGAAAGCACTGACAACCTCTACTCAAAACCGGGTAAAACTAGTCCCTTCTGTTAGGACCCTGTCTTCCACCCCGAAGGTGGTATTAAAAGTGGTTCGGACTCAATCTGGTACGGTATCTGCCCAGTCTTCTTCGACTTCGCCCTCTTCGTCGCGTCGGAAAATCCACAGCAAGTAAGTGACCAGTAGTTATATTTTTTCTATCACTCGTACGACACAGCTTAGTGGTTGGTGCTCTCTTTAGACCCGTACATGTCACAGCGATCGCAGCCAATCCTGCAGTTTCGGCGGATCCTTCTCTGAACATTCAGGTCAGTTAACCTCACCCTTTGTTACGAAATCGAAAGTAAGGGGGCAGAAAATGTTTGTCACGCGGCACATTAAATGCGGATTAAATTGCCAAATTAATCAGTTTTGGGTCTATCACAATGTACATCTTTGTCTCACTTTGTCTCCCCAGGAATCTTTGTAAACCGAGTGAATTTGTCACTTTTAAGAATTTCGAGGAGGAAAACAAACTGGGGTCATGTGTATTTGCACCTTAACAACCCAGGTCCTTCAAGTTAGCCTTTTCTTCTTACTCTACTCTAGTGGTCTATAGGGTTGATACAAAATTGCTAAACCTTGCAAATCAATATCGTTTGAACCTGTCTTATCCTTGCTACAAATGGAAAACCCGATAAACTGGCTGTTTTTTCTTGTACTGCACAATTTTTCCTGAAAACCCAATAAATCAACGGCCTTTTTCTTCCGATTTTCGAAAGACCTTTTTCCATTTTTCCCCAGCGTGTCTTTTGCAACCTTGCGGCAAATGCAGAGACAGTGGCTAATAGGATAAACTCTAACTTGGGTAATGGGGCATCCTGTGAAGCCTCTCTTTCGCAATTGGACTTTCCCCTTCCTGCGGAGATCGACCAGGGCTCATTAGTGAGTTCTTGAGTGCGCAAATTAAACCAACCATTTCGTATCCTCAAGTTATGAATTTATGGATTCCCTATGTGTTTAATTCTAAGGACCAGGTTTTTTTGGGGGAAAAGGTGTCTGAGTGAAGGCTGGCCTAAATTTGGGGCTTGGTTTAATGTTATTTGAATATCTAGTTTGTTCTCATATTCGATCGCTTGGTTTGTCCAGCTTATTCGACCTTCTGAACTTGCATTTCCTGGGTTTTTAAATGATTTTTGATCGAATAATATCGTAAAGATGTTATTAAACACCGTTCTATGTGCCGTTGGGTTAACAACTCGCTTAACGCTCAATGCTGAGTCAAGAGGTTAAATAGCTGACCGCTTTTATTTGTAACTCTCGCGCCTGGATTGCTCGGAGTGGAATCTATTCAGCTGTCTGTTAGGGTGTTACAGAGCACACTTTCACCTTTTTTAAAAAACGGTACCAGAATAGAAATTCGTATCCAAATCCCAGAGCTTTTTTTCGTTCGACAGTGAAGCTCATGAAGGAAAATAGCTCTAATTAACTGCACAAAATATTTTAAAATAATAGCAAATTGGAAGTAAGTCACAAGGCTTATTGTGCTGAGACCACGAATGCTTTGTGAGATGCCGCCTCCACTCAATCGCGCATTTCATGTCTTACTGCTGTTGACGTGCTGCAGTAAACAGTGAGCTCTTGTGCTTTTTGGATGGATGACCTAAAATCTATCAGTCATCTGTTCACCACTTTCTTTGTCTACAGAGTCTCTCGGAGCAGGACATGCATGACTTCATCAACCGACTACTGAGCGATGTCGATAGTTTAGGAAGCAAGTCGCCGGTGAAAACTGGTGCCGGCACTGCTGCAGTTGCTCCCTTGTCACCCCCTCCATCCTCCACCGTCACTGCCACTGTTATCCCGTCTGGACGGACTGAAACAACCTCTGGCGGTGAGTGTCTTGTTTCTGCCTTCCAGTCCTTAAACCGGGCTATTAATTACCATCTTATAATCTTTTTTTTTCGTTTCTAGCATTGCGTACCCTGTTTTGTGTGCATGAATACCATAAAAGTGTTTTATAAATGTCACGTTTATATCTTGTGATTGTTATCCCTCAAATTACTTGTTTTGTCATTACTTTTCTATTGTGAAACCATGATTAAGGGGAGGTTCTCTAGTTAAAGTGTGTCTGGTCCCTTTTTTAGACATACTAGGGTCTCTGTAACTTGTTTATTTCCAAGGTCGAAATCGCTTACTAGAGAATTTGACAATTATTCTCAAGACCATAAAATCACATCATTGCTCTTCCAGTTACACCGCGTGGAAGGATTCCCGTTAAGCCCACCTCCAACCCCTCCTTTGAGTCCATACCTGATGAGGTGAGTTTTGCACTTCTCTACACTTAGCTGCTCACTTTTTGCTCTCCACAATACCGTTAATCGCTCTGACCCTCCAGCAGGCGGTAAATTATTGCTTTCCTGCTACTAAGGTTACATCCCCTGCTACTACCGCTACCAAAACCCTCACCAGGACTACATCTGCTTCTTCGTCCTCTTTCACCACCTCCACCACCATTCCATCAACTTTTAAGTCACCTCCGAAGCGACCCAGACTTACGGCACGTCGTGTGAGTTGTACCTGCCCTCTCTCATCTTTCCTATCTACAGAAAGGCTAATAGGCCAAGCGTGCATGTTGTAGTTGTCTCATTAGTGGAGCCTTGGAGCTTTCAGTTTGGAAATTGGCCCGAAACAGCGATTCGTTCTGGAATTTTGTCTAATTGCATTGTGACTCTTGATGTGCCAATAAACATTCTCCGTCCTCCAGTGGACGGTTTTGATTTGCAACTGTTGCAACCGCCATTCGTGGGTGTCTCGGTGTTCTTACGTGGACACGATCCACTTTGATATCGATGGGGTTGTAATTACCCCGCTGTATAATACATTGGCTAACTCGCCTTTTATTTCATAGTTCTTTTACTACCATTCTAGTAGATGTGTTAGTGCTGTTCCATCGCATCAGTAAGAAGGCTATGTGCCAAATGTTGTGTTCTTGTTGAGATACAGTTAGCAGACTGGTAAGAGAAACATTTGAAGAGAGTACAATTAATTTCTGAACATGTATTGTAGCCGTCAGCTTCCACTTATTTCAGCTGCGCCGACAACGGTTTCTTCCTTGCTCCACCAACTGGTTCTATGTAATCACTACATTTGTAAGGTGCAATGTTCAAAAATGGATCTTTATTGGGAAAAATTTGCCTTGTATGCTGTTGATGCAAGAGATTCTCAAACTGGAACATGCGGTCCAGATAAATGGTTTCCATTCATTGCAGCAAATGGATTGGTGTCACGAGACATGTTGGCGTGATTGCCATACCGTCTCACCATGACACTTCTTTTTAGTGGTTGCACTTCATCCTTGAACGTCAAAACTACAGTTGGGTGCATTAGATAATAACTGCTATTTTATGAGCATCCTATTGCTTGTCATATTCCTCTAGCCCACTTTTTTGCCATTTTGGAACTGCCCACTTTTCTGTATGGGCTAATTCATTAGCTTCTTGCTACCTGGGGGATTTCACTCGTTATTCGCTGTTTCCTGAGTACTCAGAAGTCTTCATTATCCTTCCATTTATTGCTAGCTCGCCGCTTGATTCTTACCCTTTTTAAGCTAGAATTCATTGGAAGTTATAAACACGAGGTTTTTCTTCTTCAGGCACTTACTCGCATGTGGGCAAGAAGTCAGCGTGTTCCCTGTGAGTTCATCTTGATATACGTTTAAAAATGAGTGTTTTTTCTTGTCTTCTCTTCGGCAGCACTTTTCACATGTGAAATGCTTTATGATCATGCTCCAATGGTAGTTGTTCACAGGAACTTAATAAAACAAACTACTTTGTGTGGGAAAACTGGTAGAATGGACGACGCAAGCAGGACTTCATGCCACCATTGCGGAGGCCGAACCCCAGTAGAATGGATTGATCTGCGTGGTCAAGTTATTCGAGAGCACTCAGATCTAATGGGAACATAAGTTCATAACGAAAACTAATACGTGGAAAATGCATCTTTATTCCACATAGTTCTCTGCTACATTTATCTAATGTTTGGAAATCTCAGGTATAGTAAGATTTGTCAGTTCAACCTAACCAACGCCTTTACTTCGTTATTGGTGTCAGTAGTCAGCATGCGCTCCCTTTTCGAGATCGAGCACATTTGTGAGTGGTCATCTTTGTGTTTGTACAATTACACGTCATATTATGCGTCGATTAGCAAGGATCTCGGCGCTCCACTCACCGATCGTTTACAGAATTGACTACAGTGATGTGGGGGGCCACTACAGGTGGGATCGCCATTGACGTACTTTTGAATATCATTGAGCAGCTTACACTAATCAAATGTCTTACTATGACTGGGCATCACCGTCGCTGCGGCTGTGCTTAGGGTCTTTTATACTTGTAGATATTTGCTGGTTTTACGCCTTCGTTTGAAGGAAACCTCGTCATTTCTTGTTGCTGCGTCGACTATAGTAACTCGTTGTAGGACATTGTTGTAGCGGTGAAGTCTCGGGTTGATTTGGATGTCTTTCATAGAATCAAGCTAATCACTAGTCGTTTAATGTACCCGCTTTCTTACCTTCTCGTGATGACTGGCCATTTTTGACACTTCTTGGTTCAATGCCAACTTTAGAACTAAAACAGCCAAAAGCTCCATTTATGGGTAGAGAGATTTGAAGAATTTTATAATCGTTTACTATCTTGGTGCATCGAGGTGAAGAATACCCTTCCCTCCCATCACAATCATCCGCTATGGAGAGTTCGAGAGAGGATACTATTTATAACCCCAGGGAATCACTCTCTGCACCGAATTCGGTCCACGCCACGACATTGGATTCTGACAATTCAACCTGGCGTAAGTAATCAACCCATAATTTATTTGAATCAGTCCGGTTTTTGTATAGGGCAGATACAGAGGCACCTTTAAAGCTCGCCTCTTCTGTCCCTCAAATCGGAGATGAGACACAAATGGAATACCATATTTTAATTAATAGAATGATAAATCATCATTGATAGTATTGGAGAGAGTATACTACTTGAATCGACGACTATCGGTAGTGTTGATTAAATACTGAAACGACGAAGCCATGCTTCTTTATTCCCTCTTCGTCTGATACCCTTTAGTTATGAGATTTGCTCTTCGAGACATTGCCGAGGCACGGCTGAAAAACCTTATTTCGTGCAGAGGGAGAGAGGATATCATTTGAAAAGTTAATGAGCATTGCACTTGATTAAGGACCATATCGACTAGGGCTTAATTTGTTCCTTGGCCTTTTATTAAAAAAATAAAGAATACACCTGCGTCTTGCCACCATCGACACACATTGTGGATTTGGATAGCAGCCCCGCTGAAGATCCTCGTGTAGTAACGAGGACGTCGGCTGCGAGAGCGACGATGGCGTTAACGACTCAAGCACCACTTTCTGCACCCCCGGCACTATCCGAAACCAATACCAATGGGATAGATGAATTGAATTGTTGTAAGTGCTGGGGTGACTTAATCCTCCTTTTCCCGTTTTTCTTTGACCCTGAAATCTGCGCTTTTGAATCATCACAAGTACTGCTGCAATTTTTCAGGCGGTACGAATACACCTACCCTATCGACCATACCATATTTGGACGCCTCTTTCGAGACTAGCTTGTTGAATTCATGCAAAAGCAGAACCCACTTGGCTTTCCAATTAGCCTTGACGATCTTTTTAAATCGTCAAATCTCCCTTCCGCTATGTTGCAGCACCCGAATTGCTTCCGAGGATGAGCATACTTTCATACCACTGTCGTATAGGTCGGTAGGTCGGTCTCAGATGTTGAATGACGTCCATCCATTGTTTACAAAGTGCTTTGGAAAGAACTTTGCTTAAGGCTTCACGGCCTTAAATATTTAGTGGATTTTGTGTGCCGATCTGGTGTGTACTGAATTCTCAAGAGTCCATCCACCCGCTAGCTTGGAACGCACTACCTACCTGTTCATTAGCTAGTCACTCCATCGTCAACTACACCCTTTGATTTTACGATGAAACGAAAGATGATATTTACGAAGGAAAGCGTTGCTGATGCACAAAAGCATGTGACATTGCGGCTCCTCCAACTTGGTACTGCTTAAAGGGGTTGTAAAATTTTACTATCTTTGATCAATTCTTTAAGTACCTTCAGTCTTCGCGAATATACCACCCAAGAAGGAGAATTTCACCTCTGGAGATTTTGGCGAATTCGCCTCTATCTGGGTGAGTTGTCTTTTTGGGAAGAATTTTCCGTCAACTTTTCTACTGGCCCATGCCCTCACTGATTTGTTTGTCTATAGGTTTCACAAGGCATCGGTGCCAGCAATCCTCCTCTACCTGTCGTGGATCTCTCCAATCCCACTGTTAAACCAATCCCGATAGAATTTATCACTCTCCGCCACGCAGACTCTGATAGGACGCTGTCTCAGCCTGGTAGAATGCTATATTTCAATATTTGCATCTTCCTAATGAATGGATAGCGATCTAGTGTCTTTGTTCTGCCCCCTTTCTAGCATCTACACGCCTTTCTAACTCGCGTCTCCTGGATTACATCAACTCGGAGATGGGAGAGGTAGATCTCCAACACCATCAATGCACCCCACATACACTGCGACCCCATCGCAGGCGAAGAAGTACGCAATCCTCGTTGCCACCCCCACCTCCGTCATCACCACTGGCGTCGTCGATTTCGCTTTCACCTTCAGGGGCCAAGGAAAATGTGGCTCCAGGCCCCTCTGGGCCATCGGCTTCCGCCTCTGCCTCCACGTCAGCCGCTGATGCCAATGCGCCGCGCCCCAAAAACAAGAAGGTGGGTGGTGATGAATTTTTTTTTTCCATCGATGGGAGCTGACTCCTGTTTGAGGCAGAAGTGAAGGGGAGTATTGTCGTCAGAAGTGAAAAAATGCCTTGTTTGATGGTAGTATGTCTACTAAAATAACTTCTAAACGCCAACTTACCGGATTACTAACTGTACAACTCACAGTTTCGGCTTAAAAATGGCTCGCCACGCTTCATCCTCCTCCTATCCATCTATCTGTGTTCATCAACCCATCTCTAGTTACTCATCTACCCATTTATCAAAACTATGAGCTAGGGGAGAACGAGGATTGTGGACAAAAGGAGTTACTTTGATCTGTTTCCTTTGCACTAGTGAAACTTTTCTCTGTGCAGTTGAGATTTGTCGTTTGAATTGAGGGGGAAGTCTTGATCTAGTCAAAACATTTGGTAATCGGCGGTGGATTATGAATGTATTTCGTTATCGTTAAATTGTATTTTGAACTATTCGAAATAACAAAAAGTGATTTTAGACTCGATTAACTCTTTTCCACTCCGAGGAGTGGTAATCTTCTGTGATTAGTGCTATGTTCATGCTCCATTTCTGAGTCCAAAACCACGTTAAAGTAGAATTTGGTGCCTCAGATCACTGAAGCATTGAGACTGCTGGAAACTACTACTGATTTCTTTTAAGAATTCATCGAAAGCATTTCACCAATGGTAATGGTGATGTCAGTTGGGAGCCACGTTGGCCTGTCACTGTTGAGTTGTTTCAAGCGGATCCTCAACTGCGAGCTTCCCATTCCCTCCCGTTATAAAATTAGGCGGTTGGATAAGCCGTCTCCTATCTGTAACCTAGTGACCGGTTGGGTCGGGTGATTATGCTAGCTTAGTGAGTTGTGCCCTTGTTCTAAATATGACCATTATTTCACATCGCCTGGGGACTACAAATACACTTTCTGTAGTGATGCTACAAGCACTTAGAAGATGATCATAAACGTCTGTCAGTGGCCATTTATTGCGTGAGGCACCTGATCCGCAGACGCTGGACTCTAACCAGTCGTGAAATTGCGCAAGAGAGCATTGAAGATAACCAATCACGAATAGTCACCTTTTGTGCAAGTTGTCCTCCTCCGGTGATCAAGGCAACCTTCTGCAAAAGGGCTTTGAATTCTTCAATATTTGTTTTGTCCTTTTATAAGCTCAAGTCTCGATCAACCTGAGCATCTCGTAAAACAAGGCAAATGCATCAACGATTTCCTCCCCGAGCATTAATTTGTTCGAAAGACTGGTGATGAAAACCACTAAGAAGGTAGATTTCGAGTTATGAAAAGATGGATTTCTTATATTGAGTTGTCTTAAGCAATAAAGCGCCGTATAGTACCTTAATACTCTCAAACTTATACCGGTGGCGCAGGTAGGCTGCGTACTTGTTTATGCAGGTCGAGGACGATGTGCTTGCTTGAAATCTAGATCTCAAATTCCGTAAACTTTTGTGTAAAATGCTAAGAATTTATTAACCACACTACTTTATGCCCAATCAACTGAATCTTTAGCACATTCTAAAAGGCGGTGGCCTTTGAAATCTTCATTCGTGACATACGAATTACTTTTGGCCAATTTACTCACCTTTTTCCTCATCTTTTTTGATCTGACGTTTCTTGTCACTTGAGTTTATTATTTTGCTTTCTGTCTACGTTTCTTGTCTCAAATCACCCATTTGGTTTAGTTCGTCTTGTTTAAAAGAAACGGCAGATGAGTAGGAACTAGCTTCGTTATATACCTCAGTAATTATTTTGAGTGCAAATAACAAACAAAAGGTATATAATTCCTTTGAACTTTTTTGCGTAGTACCTTGAGACATTCGTGAAGACGAAAGAAGACGCAATACTCAGGTAGAATACGTCTTATCAACGTACAGAAGGGCTGGGGGGTTACGAGGATAGCCTAGAGGTCACTTCACCCAACAGAAGTACGGAAGCTGAGTCTCAAGTATTGATGAAATTAAAACGAATAGTTAAACAAATAAACGTAGCATTGCATGGTCTACTCTTCTTTTTGACCGTCTTCCTCATCACTCCCCTCGGTCAGCTTTCCATGCCGGCCACCACAAAGTAGTCGGTGATGTATGAGAGACACCCAGGAACCATCCCCTCCAGCCATGCAATTTCAATGCAACGGAGGAGATGCTTGACCGCAACACCGCTGATTCCTTTTGGCAATTGCACTGGATTTAGGGTTTCGTCTTGTTTGAAAACTGTATTAGGGGAAGGGGAAATGTACGGACGATCACGTATTTCTATCGCTTATCGTAAGAACACCAGCACAAAAGCCGAGTCATTTAATAAATGACAGGGCTTAAAATAGTTCCTTGTAATTAATATTCCACGTTAATTCCTCCTTGCCACGTTGTTCTCGCTTCAGTACTGCCCAGCCATATCCAGCTATTAGCGGGGTGGAAGAGGTATCGCGTGTTCACTTGATTAACATCTTCAAACAGGCACCTAGACAGCTCTATTACTAGCTTTTCCAGATGGTTTACGGTCATGGCTAGTGTCGCTTTAGTCGTTAATAGCCTTCCTTCTGAGTACGGGACCAGTGCAGTTGTCGAAGATAGACGTCATTTGTAACCCTTCTACGGAGAGTCTTCACAGTTTCTTCCCTCCGGAGAATATGCTTTTCCTCCGTCACGTTGAAGTTTTGCAATCAGGGTAGTTGTTCCCGAGGTTCGAGTTCGTTTTCCTCTACCAAAAATGCAGTGCCCCGAGACTTTTGTACGTATTATCGACGTATAGGAGGGCTGGAGGTTACGGCGATGGCCCAGAGGTCATGTTACCCAGCGGAAGTATGGAAGCGGAGTTAATAGTTAAACAAATAAATTTCAGTTACAGATTGTCGCTCATTCCCTTAGTCTGTGTTATTTTTTTATCTGCCATATTATATCCGTGTATTTTGTCTGAAAAACCCCGATTTAAACTCTGGGTGATGGAGAAAAGGGTCCGTTTTGTGGAGTAATTTCTACCAGTTAGATATTGCCCCTGGCCGTTTGGGGTGAGTGTTAGATTGCTTCTCCTGACCTAACTGTTTGTACTTTTTTTCCTGATTCCAGAAGTTTGATCTCTCTAATCTCGATGTGATGGGAACGTTGGCAAAAATACACTGATGTCTTCGTGTTTTCACTGGCACCTCTTTTACCAACCTTCACTTCCTCCTGTTTGTTTTGATGGCGTTGGCCCCTCTCTCCCCCTCCCCCTATCTCCTGCGTAATTTTGGCAAGGCTGCATTGAAATGTTTGGTTAATTGGGATAAGGTTTGAGAATTCCCCTACTATTTGTGTATAATTATTTTTATCTTGTAAATATGATCTATGCTCTGACCTTCATATGCTTTTGCAATGGTGCCAGGAATCGCGTTGTGTGTGATTTCCTTGGTGCTGAGCGTTGGTTCGGGAAGGTTCTTCATTCCTGCATGGAAAAACTGTAGGTTTATAGCAGGGAGTATTAGTCGTGGAGAAATAATGGAAGGATATGAGTGGTAGATCAGCTTTTGTGAACTTTGTTGCGAATTTTTGTGACTGGGGTCTCTATGGGCCTGGGTCCTGTCGAGGCCATCAACCAGGTAACCAATAGACAGTCTTCGATGCGGATGTCTACTGCCACGGCAATGGGGAATCAAAATCGATGGGGCCAGTGTTTAAGTTCTTGGCGACTGTCTGAAGATTGAGTACGTGGTTGACCTTGGCCTTTGATCCGATGTCTGCCTAGCATGGAATGTTCGGTGACAAGCCGTCGGCTAGAACTTCTGGGGGGTTGGGAGCATCTCCGGCATTAGCAAGCATCGAGCGAACTGCATACCGTGCAACTTGTTAGATAATTAACTCAATTTGAATATTATAGCCTAACCAATAAAAATCAGTGAAAGAGGTTTTCATTTACGCGGTTATGTGGGTTACGCTCAGATAACTAATGTTTATGTGACCGTGTGCTCAACTGCGTAGGTTTTTCGCACGTTTTAATTTCAACTTGTCCGTGTAGCCTTTTGGCCATATCTACAGCTTTCCTGACCTCCTATGGGATGTTAAACTATTCTCTGGTGTTGATATTCTAGTGCAAAGTGCAGTGTCGTCCATAGCTTCACTAGCTGCATAAGAATAGTTAATCTCCTTTTGCCCGCAGACGTTAAAACCGGCACGGAGGAGTAATCGAGGAAATGTTGAGGAAGATGCTAACTTACTAGACTTCGTAGGGTGCAAATTTTTCCGGAAGGTGGCCCCCAATTACGCCAGTGGCCTTCTGACCCTTCTGCTTATTTACAAGATGTATTCATAGTATTGTGTCTCTAAGTAGCATGTTAATGTTTCATTTACTTGCTAAACTTCTCCTTTAATTAAGTAGTCAGTTAAGTCTACGCATATTGCCCTTCCCCTTAACGGCATTGCCTCTCGGTCATCTTAGTAGCCACCAACACCTGTACGTTAGTAATACTGTAGCGTCCCGAGACTCCCTGAAGACGAAAGAAGACAAAATACTCGGGCAGAATATATATATTCAGCACGGAGAAGGTGTCTGGGCTATTGGCATGGCCCAAAAGGCCAGCCCACCCAGCGAGGTACAGGGGGGCTAATTCGAAGTACAAAAGTGGCGCCTCACCAGAACCGAGGGATAAACCACTATCGTATTACAATACATTTGCTGAATACTACTGTGATGCTTTTGCGATTTCATGGGAGACTTGCTAGGCTACAACGCATGTAGCAATCAAACTTTTAAATTCGTGATCGAATTAGCTTGCCAAAAGGTTTTAAGGCTCTCATTGTTTTTGCTTTATTTGGTTTTAAACGATGTTGATGTCCAAAAACGTCAACATTGATTTAAGGTGGCAACTTTGGCGTGCAAACATACCCAAAATAAATACGTTTGCAAAAAATTGGCTTAAGTGGGGCAAATTATCCAGTAGCACATAAAGTTTGAGCAACTCTAAAAAACTGAGCTTAGCACAAGGTGCGCAGTTTCAATAGGCCAATTGAATTTTGCCGATTTCGACTCATATATTCATCTGCTGCCATTTAGCCCCTCTGGGTGGTAATGGGAGAGGTATGAATGCATATACCATGATTAGGAATTGCTGTTCAGGATTACACGAATACGAACTACACATCAGACTTTGAGTCTGATGTTCAAAGTGAAGTTGGTTCGATTTGTTCCTCCAGGTGCTCGCATTCGTTTATCAGCATTAATCTCGATATTTTCCCAAATTTTACCGTATGACAGGACCGGAGACGATGCCTTTTCTGTCCGTATTGGCGAAAAAAGGGGCTCATCACACCTAAATCCATCGACGGAGCGTGAGTCTGTCACAAAACAAAGGTAGTTAATCCTTTATGCCTCATCTAACTGTACAACAGGCCCACGCCCTCGCAAATGATGCCTTTGGATGCAGTATGCTAGAACTTCTTACACTTACCCCATATTCTTTTAATTAGTACCAGCGACACAAAAAAATGGTTAACGACTATCTTCAATACTACGGTGGTTCTAGAAAGGACTTCAGACGTGACACGTAGGTACCATTTCCTCTTATGCTTTAACTATTACAGGACTAACGACAAACGTGATATTGATGTAATCAAGGCCAACGCTCGTTTTGTCTGGGAGGATCGAGACAATCCCGAAACATGGCAAGCTGAAGGAAGCAATTTTACTTTGCCATTATAGGGAGGAGAGGCTGGCTAAGCACTACTGGGACCGCCTGTACAAGGAGTACGCAATTGCAGACTTTTCGCGGTTCAAAGAGAAAAAACTAGGCCTGCGTTGGCGCTCAGAGCGGGAGGTGGTTTCGGGTAAAGGGCAGTTTGTTTGTGGCGCGGTAGATTGCAATGAGGTCGAGTTTTTACGCAGTTGGGAGGTGGATTTCGTGTATAAGGAGAGAGGTGAGAAACGGAACGCGTTGGTGAAGGTACGACTATGTCCCGCTTGCTCTCAGAAATTGAATCATCATAAGCAGTGAGCACCCCGATTCTTTTATCCAACTTCGTATTCCTTTTGACTGCTTATATCTTTAATATTTTGTAGACACTTTGAAGTTGTTCCGAAAATCAGAACTGAGGAGTTTGAAGAGGAGAGGAAAGTGGCGGCTCCTCAGGAACATCGTGAACCGACACCTAGAAGTGATCTTTGGAAGGGGCCTTCTGCATCAGATCAACGAATGCCGGATCGGCCACATTCACAACGTACACAGGAGGATGAATTTGATGATTATCTAAAGAACATGTTTATGTAGTTTAATTTTACTTTCCAGCTCGCAATATGGTCATTGCCAAACTTGTAAATACGTCAGCATGACATACATCGGCGTTTCTCTCCCGCTCTAGGTGCTGTCTCGGTCGTCGCTGCGGTTGGGTCTCTGGGTAACGGGTTGGGGGTTTGTGGTGGTAGGGCGGTGGTCGGTGTATGCGGCAGCGGCTCAGCTGCGTTCCCCGGGCTGGGGTGCCGATCCTCTTTTCTCCGTTGAGGAGGTTTTGCGTCGTACGCATTTTCGAGAAAATTTAGGTTGTTGGCGCACTTAGTAGTCGTATAACTTAATGCATGGTCTACCCAGACGCCTAGTATCACAGAAAAGAATATTGTGGAGTCAACAGAATGTATCCTTTTTTTTAACACGCAGGATTATGCTAGCTACAGCTTCCTCACTTGAGCATGCCTTCATCTCCATGGATGCAACTAAGAGGAGCAAAGCAGGCACCAACCTTTAAAAAAAATGTATTGCAAAAAAAATCACAGACCTTTGAGTTTTGCACTTGCAAAGCTAGTTATACCTTCACCACTCCTTGCAGTCGAAGTACTGCGTTTAAATAACGCACAACAGAAGTGGGTTATTTATATCGTAATCTGGGACCCCATATGCTCTTTTGACATGGAAAAAAATTACCAGAATATTTTGTCTGATAAGGTGATTTGCCTGTTTCGTGACGCACAACAATACTTTACAATATATGGCTGGCTGATTATACTTTTTGTATTGCGATCATTCGCGAGGATTTCAGATTGTAGCTGTGATAGTTTGATGCCTTTTTCCTTTAAATTATTTTGATTTTATTATTAATTTTAAACAAAGTCACGGAGCTACGCGCCTTTTGTTTAGCACATTTTCGTTGCTCCAAGTGATTCTGACTTCGAATGTCTGAAGCAATGCCTGTCCTACCGCCTTGAAGCTGGTCAGGGGGAGTGTTTCGTCGTACTTGGAGTTGGTGGTAAGCTACCAATTAATCCTAATTTTCCCACATTTATGGGTCTCTAAATCTATGGAATTCTAGGACGTATAGCTTTAATTTTTACCATTTGGTGCTCCTACTACAGTAATCCTTTTCACGATGTTTATTACCAATCTGCCGCGACTTCTGGGAGGTTTTTTTGCTGAAATACTTTTGCTGGATCGGGTAATACCTCGTCATTTTTTTTCCACGCTGCCAGGTAGCATGTATGTACATTTAAGGTGTTGTAAAGTGCATGTCTAGGGCTATTTTCTTGACTTCAAAATATATAGAAACTATTTAGAGCATGTCTGAATTTACAAGATGATTAGAATAAACTTGTTTTGGATAATGACTATGTGGTTATTTTTTTTCCTGATTGAAAATCACACAGTAACTTATTTGAATGTAGAATATTCAAGTGGGTTTATAAGGCTTGCAACTCGTATGTTCATTAGGAATACTATTTTTCCCCTTCTCTGGTTTACCTTGTTCTCTTTTATGAAGTGAAATGACAATTCGTAATTAATATCCTTAGTGGCCTGTAGCCAATCGCCTGTTTGCTCTGTACTTTTCTCCATTAGTCAAACCCCAGCTATTTTATCATGATGGCTATCAAGCATTCGAGCGTAATTCGCGCGTTTGTCAGTTCGCTTTCGTGTTGATTCTGCACCTATCACTCTCGAAGACTCTTAATAGTTTTAAGCGTAGGAACTCCAGTGCATTCAGATTTTTAAGCGTGCAGAAAGTCGCTTGGATATCCAGTCTGCCCTGTTACGACTCCAACATCAACTTTCCATTGATGTCTTCAGTTTCAAAACTTTATCAAGACCACTTTGAGTGCTTTAATACTGATTAGGAGCCGACATTTCGAGCAATTCCAAAGTCGTAAGATTCTTTTTCTTATCCACTTTTAATTGATCACAGTATCATCCTCATGGTATTTTACCTACTCTCCAGCTACTAGCCTTCCGGCTTGAAATCACCGACCTTCTTCCACCATAGATTATGCGGATTTCTCAATTATTTTATCTAATTTCTACTCCTCTTTACGCCTTCATTAAAATTCAGGCAACGCGTCAAAAAGTAGGTTCTTGATCTGTCTCATCTCAAACCTCATGCATTTGCATAAAAACTTGGTCCGAATTAAATCGGAGGCAAGTACATTTCACTTCCCCCGTAACATAGCGAACCCTCTTAGTTGCGCCATAATGGGTCACGGTCTTTATCCATGTATTCGCTGTCGTGTACGTACGATTATGCCTGTGCTTAAAGGTTAACAGTTCCGTGTAAAGATAACATATTTTACGTAATGAGAAGCAGTAACTCATTGCAAATGAAGTTTTTGTGTTGATTAATGATTGGAAATTAGCTCAACTAGTATATCTACGAAGCATCCATTGTTGGCAAAGAATAGGTGATTTGATTTGCTCTTCACAGATATGGATCTCGCTAGTTATTTAACAAGACAATTTTTATTTTCAAGACGGGGCGTTCTTTTGATCCATAAATTCTTTTTACCGGTCTGCTGTGGGTGTAGAACTGCTTGATTTGTAGGCTTTTAAAACTCATTTTGTGCTATTCTGTCATCTCATATTAAACTGGTCCAATCGATCAAGAAAGTATGAGGCCACAAACATAAATAGCTAAAAAGCAGTTCCGAAAGAGCAAAAAAAAATCCGACAACAGGTTACCCACTCCCCAGCAGATATCGTAGTGTTTTGGGGAGAAGGGCGGATGGGTGGGTCTCCGTGTTCAGTTTCTGTCCATAGCTTGAGTAACAGCAATGCTATTTGTGTGGGAATCACACCTCTACTGCCTTAGCTAACTGCCAACTTTTGTCCAAACATTGGTGCTCTCTTCCATCAGTTATTAGTCCTCAGGGAGCCTAGATTCAGGTTTTGATAGGCTTACTAATTGAGCGACCACTGTCGGCGGATCATCTTTGACCGATCACCACAGAGAGCCAGGAGCCCGGTCTCTCAACCAGCGATATGAGCGCTAGCGAAGCGACACTCCAATCGTTGACACAGTTACTCGACGTCCACCTCATCCACCTGCGAACTCGCACCGTTCCTATGCTCTCCACCACTGACGTCTCAACCACTGCCGCCGCTGCTCCTCCGAGGGCCAAAAACAAGAAAAGCTCTCGAGGACGAGCTAGACCTGGGTCTAAAGAAAGTGCCTTCGGTGTCACCGCGGATGGACAGGCGTCGGAAAAGGTGACACCGGCGCCGGCGACTGATGCGTCAGCAGCAGCAGCAGTAGCAATAGAAACCGCGTCGCAGGCGGCGATAGCGCCTGATTCGCTAACAGCAGCAACAGGAACTGCACCACAGACGGTGATGGCATCTGCAACAGGGGGAGAGTGGGTTGTAAAGGATTTTCTCCTGCGCCATGCCATCGGTGAGCGCGATTTCATCGATATCAGGTGCGTCTGGTATTAATGGCATCCGTAGCTAGGTCGGTTTTCTACATCTCTGACAAATTAACAGAGGGAATTAAATTTATTCGCCAAAAATATAATATTGCAACCCTAAACTTAGTGAATGATCGCGTGATATTTTAAAAAGTGTCCTTTTAGCTTGCCTCATGACTCTTAAGGATGAACGTGCTGCGTGCTTAAGACTGGTTTTATGATCTGAACTCGCTAACGTCAAACTCAATTTTGGCATTGTAAATGATTTATTTTGTTTATTATTACTGCTTAGGCTATTTTTAATCTTATTAACTTTACCAAAAAGACGGGTCAAGCCACTTGCGGTGAATATGGCCACAATTAAGCGGTCTCCGATGCACTGTTTGGATCCCTCAACTCCCGTTGGTTAAGCTTTCAACAAATCTGCGATACTTCTATTGATATTGGTATGAAACAAGTGGAAACGCCATTTTAAGCTTTTATTACTAAAAACGCTATTTAAAGCTACCAGCTTTATTGTTGTTTCTTTACATCAAACGAAGTCTGAAGCCTTTGCTTAGAAAAACAGCTATTTGTTTATCAACGGTGTTACCATAGTCTGCTCTGGTTAGGTCGTACGTCAGTCCGTTGTCTGCGCTTGCATAGGTGAAACTTTCGGCCACTGGAATCGCCAATTTGGGCGTCACTCTAATCCCAATTTTTTCGCACCAAGTGAGAACACAAAGGTCTCTGTACTATGTGCTAGGAGCACAAAGCAAAACAGATGCATTAGTCTCCACAATTTAAATACCAGTATCACTTATCTTAAAGTAGGATCACTTAGTACGGTAATCAATCCGTGTACCTTGAATGTTTTCAAAGATTCAATGATTTGCAAGTTGTACAAGGAGTGTCCCTAACTCGAATTCATGAGAATTCCGGTCAATGTCATGACTAAGTAGACCGCCGTTCGCGTTCAGAGTTGCGGTAGTGGGCAACGTGGATGCGGGCAAATCGACAATGCTGGGTGTGCTGACACACGGTGAGTTGGATAATGGTCGAGGCCTGGCGCGTCAGTACCTCTTCCGGCACAAACACGAAATAGAGTCGGGTCGAACAAGCTCCGTGGGTAACAACATCCTCGGCTTTGACGCGGACGGTAAGGTGGTCAATCGCGCGGTGCACGGAAAACTCGACTGGGCGGAGATATGCCAGGCGGCCACCAAGGTATGTCACATTTCTATTTAGTTTGGCGGTTTTTAACTATTCTGTGCTCTCACATTAGGTAATAAAGTATGAAATTGGGTGCGGACTTTTTTTCTAGCAAGATTAGTACAACACATTGTTGGATAAGTCAGGATTCACGTTATTTCAGAGCATATTGTTCTGTACGTCGGTCTGAAGTGATAGGAGTGTTTGTCGTGACGACTGTGACAAGCTAACGCATGGGGACACCGTAAGCCGGTTGGTGATTTGTGCCCGATTATCCCCGAGCTGACTGCGTGTACTACATTAGGAGGTCTGAGCTTTGACTAAGGAACTAAATTTGATGAGATGGAGGCTAGACGTAGTGGAAAGCTATGCATTCGTTGTAAATCTTATCCTCCTACGCGTTCGAAATCGTGTTCATCGTGGCTAAACACGATTTGTAAACGGATGACGGCTATTACGATGACAAAACTTGTGCAGACATGCACACCTCGATCGAAATCCACAGCGCTTTATCTGTTGTATTTCTTGGAATCATATCTAATCTAGCTCGTTTCGCGTGCATCGAACTTTTCTAGGCCTCATCCGAACACGCCGAAGGAAAATTGTCTCACGCTATTTATCAATGAAGTATCCTCACTTTTCGCTCACTCGGAAAGGTTTTTCACCGTTTCCTTTGTAATAGGCTTTTGTGTTTTGTATCTATCGTCGGTCGAAGAAACGCCGCAGCTTTCATTATTTGTTATATCATTGCCATGGAAGTGGGTCCTCTGTTTCGGATCTACGCTAGATTAGGCAATTTTCCAGCGTTGTTGCTACCTCTCCAAAGCAGGGTTTCGGAGGCTCCCCTGGGTGATTTGGTACATTTTGTCTGCTTAATTTGTTTTATAGTGAGCATTTTCCATGTGTACGTGCTCTGTTTTGGGATATCTGATAGTTGGGTCTTGAGGCGTTCGGTGTGAAAGTCCACATAACATAAAAGTCCAGTGTTATTATTCACGTGAGATCGGAAAGAGGGCTTTACTGTTAGCGCGTATTGAGAGACCGGTAGACCTGGGCAGAATTCCATGTCACCAACGTTAAGGCCTATTCGTTGGAGACCGGGGAAGATCCATGTAAGCGAATGTACAATTGAAACGACTTCCATCCTGTTTTAGCGTGCAACCCCCTCCTTTCACCAGTGATACTGCTTTGAGCAATTTTTTTAAACAGCAACCAGTTGGTGTTACTGTTTTCAGAGGTGATATGTTAGGCCTTTAAAGGCTTTCTAACTTATTTGACCTATGGGACAAATCTTCCCCAAATGTAGCGCCCTTTGCAGTCCATTTGTTTTTGCTAGCAGTTCCTTTAAAATGCGCTTTCAACGGTGATGTTTGTGGACTACCGTCGGTTCAGTTTTGCCGCTTTGCTATCTCCTCCAAACCACTGTCACGACTTGCATTTGGAATACAAGAAAAAGGCGTCAAAATACCGACGCAGTTGAGGTCATTTGGAAAGAGTCGCACCCGAGGATTGAACTGATTTTGCGGAGGTGCAGGGCGGTTGTCTGTTTACCTGCCTTGTCAAAATTTTCATACTGCGTTGGTTTTTTTATTTATAAGATAGCAATGGTGTGGTCAGGTAGGCTGTAGGTTAGTCTTGATGGATTCCGTGGAATTCTCTAGCATTACTTACCAACGAGAAAGTTATTAGGCCAACATTAGCCTAATCTGTTTGATTGAGAGGAGCGTAACCCTCTTCCTTCGTCAGCCATGTACGTCGGCGATCATTCGCACTGCCATCAGCATCCCATGAACAAGAGCAGAGCTATGCATTCCACAATGATGCAGAATGTTTTGAAAGTTCTTTAAGAACTTCGGCTACCTCTGAATTTTGTATTACTTCTTTTTGCATCAGTCATTATCAGTGTGACCTTGAAACGGATCGTAGCACACAAAACCTCACTTCTCAAACTGAATTTGCTTCTTGACCCTGGAGGTACAAATGGCGTAATTGTAAGCATACGAAACATTATCATTCACAGCAAGTTATGTGGTTGGCTGTTTAAAACGAGAGTGTTGCCAGGTGCAGGGGTCCACGCTTTCCACTTAGTCTCCTCTCAACTTCGTCCATTTATCCCAGCCTTTAAACTAGGCTTACAAAGCAACTTCAGCAGAATAGGTTTTCCCACTGTAATTGAACCATCTTGTAACAATCTGCCGAAGTAAAGGTGGTTCATTCGTGTGCCTCTGCGGCTTTGTTGCCCGGTGGCGTGTCAGGGTTTTATCACTTATATTGATGCGATACAGGAAATCTTGGCCTTTTTAATTAAAATGATCCTTCAATTCAAAATAGAGAACCTCTCTTACAACTCACTGTCCGGGCAGGTTAGTTGTGCGTCGATCAGACGTCTACAAATTGGATGTTCTCTTCACAGCAATGGCTGCCTTGGTGTTGGACTAGGAACCCCTACTGGCAGTCGTAAGGTCGACCGCCTTTTAAATCTCTTCACCATTCAAATGTCTTCATGCTATGTCTGAGCGCCTTATCACCCTTTTATGCTTGAAGCATTCCGTACTAGCAGATATCTTTGGGTTTCACGTCGTCGTTGACATGATGCTTCATTCACCGCTCTGCACTGGTTCACGGTGTAGCCTGCAACTCTGACTGATAGTGTCTGGACGGACTGGCCGGCGATATTTCCGCCTGCTGGTAGGGATAAGATACAGTCGATAACCCCCATCACGGTGACGTCTTTTAATGCAGACACGTAAAAGTAAAAGTCCTGCTTTGGCTCGAACGTCCTTCGTTTTCTTTGAGTCGCAAGCCCAATCGACTTGCGGGCCACAAACGGGACCTTCTTTACATTCATTGCGTGCACTTTCATTCTCAGGTGATTACCTTTATCGATCTGGCGGGCCACGAGAGATACCTCAAGACCACAGTTTTCGGGCTAGTAGGATTCGCGCCCGACTTCGTGATGCTTATGGTGGGAGCCAACGCGGGTGTCATTGGGATGACAAAGGAGCATCTGGGTCTCGCACTGGCTCTTTCCGTGCCAGTCTTCGTGGTGGTCACCAAAATTGATATGTGTCCGCCCAATGTTCTGAATGAGACCCTCAATCATCTCTTTCACGTCCTCAAATCTCCTGGGTGTCGGAAGATACCCCTCCTTGTGTCAAATCAGTAAGATGGCGGTCTCGTTGTGTTTGGTCATCAAGGCGTGGCGCCTTGTTTGTTGTCTGATTTGCTCGATTAAGGGAATAACAAATTAAGTTTCCCACTAGCTGTTTTTTAGTGAAACTTGCCCCTTTGTATTGTAATGTGCATATTGTTGGTAGTTTTTTTTAAGAACTACTGTTTTTTTAAGAACAGGACGAAGAAATGTTTATGAGAACGGCTCCCATTTACAACTATTATTGGTAAAAATCGACCACTCATGGTGTGTGGGACATCTGATTCTGGACAACTGACGCATAACCTGGTGAGAAGTTGAAGGAGCGAGTCTTTTTGTGGAAATGATTAACGCAACCGTACCCTGTTGATTAAATTTTGTAAAGTTAGGGAACAAGGAGATAGGTATCCAGATATATCAAGGGGCTATGGGGAAAAATCAGTACGCTTTTAATCCTTTGAAATGTGCTACTTCCTCGCCTGTTGTAGGCTCAAAAGTCTCGGCTTGGTTTGAATGCCTCTCAGATGGCAGCTCTACAAGGGTTCACTATGCTTAAATTTCCTCCTTCTTTTCCCTTCGCAGCGACGATGTGGTTTGCAGTGCCACCAACTTCACCTCCGAGCGCATGTGTCCTGTTTTTCTGGTCTCAAATGTTACTGGTTCGAATTTAGACCTTATCACTGCCTTTCTCAACCTCCTCTCCATCCCCTCACCCACCGTCACTGCCTCCACCACCACCCCCACCAATAGCATTGCCGCCTCCATTGGTGCGACCACCGTCAACTCCACCTACCGCCTTGATCAACCGGCCTCTTTTCAAATCGACGAGCTCTTCACCGTACCTGGCGTCGGCGCCATTGTCTCCGGCACCTGCATGAGCGGAGTGGTGCGTCTTAATGACACACTGTCGCTGGGACCGGACACTTCCGGACGATTCTTTCCTGTAGTTATTAAGAGTGTACAACGAAAGCGTCTACCCGTTAACTCCGTTCGGGCTGGACAAACTGCGTCATTTTCACTCAAGCGGCCGAAGGGGTGTACACAGCTGAGAAGGGTGAGTTTTGGAAAACATAATAATAGTTCAATTGTAATCAACGGACATGTTCTTTTGCAAGGCGCTCTTGTCATAATTGTCCAAAATGTGTCGGAAGAGACTGAAAAGGCCCTGTTCATCCGAATCGAGTGACCGGCTCTTTGAGCGTTTGTTTGATAGCAAAACTATTTGAGAAATCACTGCAGGAGACTTTTTTTGGAGACGACTTCGATTAATTCAAACGTTGCATTTCACCACGAGCCTTTTATGCAGAACTTGCGGTTGGAATAGTTACAAAAATTCGATGCGGTTTCGATGGTTACCTCACTGTCAGCCCCCGCACATCGTGCTATCTAGAATGGGTTTCCCATGTGACTTGTTGATGTGTCATCCAAGGCGCGAAATTGGGTTCGCCCTAAGGATGCTGTTATTAATTATGCAGAAGGATTGTCTCCGTACGCAGGTCAAAGCGAAGGAATGGCTCTTGGAAACTACTCACGATGCAGTCATTGCTACTCATATAATTCCGTTTCCTCCTTGAAGGGGATGATGCTACTAGGCAAGGGCGCGGACCTCACCTCGTGCATAAATTTTACGGCAACGGTCTTGGTCCTTCACCATCCCACCACAATCAGCGTCGGTTACCAGGCGATGGTGCACGCTGGACCCATTCGGCAAACAGCCACAATCCTCAGCATCGGCGCCGGCACCGGGAAGGAAAGGCTGCGAACAGGAGACAGGGCCGAAGTCCACTTTGCCTTTATCAATCATCCGGAGTGCCTACACAAAGGCGCTCGTCTTATCTTTCGGGAGGGCAAGACGAAAGCTGTCGGTGAGTCACCTTATTATCCTTCTGTTGGACAATGTTTTAGTAATACATCTTTAGCCATATTTTGTATTCCTACTAAGTTTGCGCTAAAATTTGGGCTTGCCATGATTTGCTTTGTTTATTTACTTTAGGTACTGTGAATCAAATCGTGCCCTATCAACCAGTGCTGGCACCAGTATCTGGGGGCCGATCAAGGAAGGCACAGAAGGCCCCAAGTAGGCAACCAATTGCCCTCCCAGTCAGTACTGCAAAGAAAGTGGTGAAAAAATGAGATGGCCTTCCATAGATCTTCTTTTGTGGTTTTAACGTTAGAGCCATACTCTTTTCCCAGTATAAAAAAAATGCATTCAACAAATAGTTGTTAAGTTGTTAGTGAAATGGAGTGTGGATTGAGATAAATCCGATCGGAAGTGATCAGTAATAGTTCGTTCAAATTGTGGCATTTTTAGCGATTTTTATCATTAGGGCAGCTGCTTTTCCTGATTGCAGATGAGACATGTTGATGAGGAAATGACATTAGTCCACTGAAATGCTGTGCTCGATTAATTTTAACACTTTTTCAGATCTAGCTATGCTTGTATTTTCATCTGCGAAGAATTATGATCGGGCCATTCAAAATTCGAGATCGCGTCACTTCATGTGGATTTGGAATGCGTGCCTGTGCCATTCTGTTTGGATTGGCAGCTGACGGCTTGTCCGAACTGGAATTATCGTTACGTCATCCGAATGGGTGTAAGACACAACAGTAATCACATCGTCGTGTCTACGACGCAAACTTATAATCATCATTGAAACATTTTGTCACCTCAAAGTAGGAGGATGATGGAAATTAGGTCTACAATCTCGTCAATCCCAGCAGTGCCAAGAAAACGTCAGACGTTTGAAACTTCTTCTTGGAGTACTAATAAAGGATGGAAACGTCGGAAAACTACATAGGCTAGTTGCACATTGTCGCACTGGGAGGGGTTGGCCTAAACTCCAAACTGTTGATCATTTCTCTCGGATATCTGTGGAGTTTAAAGAACTGGGGGAAGATCCTAAGCTTTCACGAATACGAATACGCACTGATTCACTTCTAAGGAGTCGCAGTAAGTGGAGCTTAGGTGCCTCGCTGCGTTGAAGCCGTTTCAAATATCCTTCAAGTTGGGGTATCAACAGGTAATCAGGGACCTCAATATAGAATAACTTGGAATGATTTTTCCAGCTAAATAGTAACTGACAGCAGAAAGTCTTTTAAACTACCAGACGTCATTAAAAGTTGGTTTTGATAATGTTAATCTCGACTTGGCAACACGCCATTCCTCGTTAGCAAGATTGTGTAGGAGGAATCTTGACTGCAATGTCTCTGACTGATTCATCACCAAAATCAAATTATTACAACAATTTCTAAGCGATTTTGTTGAGCCACTCTGTACCCTCTCCCAAACCTCGTCCCAATTTGACAGAAAGCCTTTACCGCATTAAAATCGGGTTGCAAGCTGGGTTCGTAACGGACTAAACCGATGCACATCCACCGGGTTCAACTGACGGTTAATGCAATTTCAAAGCAGCACAATTAACATCGAACTTTGGGGCTGCACAAAATTTGCAAGGCTTTCGACACCACTCGAGTAGAAGAAATGATAACAGCACCTAAACAATACACCTTTGGATTCACTCAAGCGGTTCCATCCAGAGCAGACATTCTATCACATCAAAGATGATGGAAGACTCATCTTTAACGACTTACCAGTGCTAGAAAAACTCAGACCAAGAACATAGAGAGGACGTAAACAAGTAAACAATGTATTGACAAGCAAGGAGAGGGAAAAAGGGGAGATTAGACAGGTGGGAAAAACACGCTAATCAATGCCATTTCACCAACCGGGCTGCGTGTTGGCCAAACGTCGCATACGTCTACACAAGGGGGTAAAACATCAGTTTAGAGTAGGGCAAAGGAAAACAAATTAATGAGGAAACGAATAAGGAGATGACTTACCGCGTGTTACGATCCTGATCGCGGATCTTCTTCTCCATCTCGGCGTCTGTTAACACCTCAACAGCCGGGCTCCACTGATCGGCTTCATTGGGACTGCGGAACACTACATCGATTGTCGGCAGTGGTGATTCACTAAAAACACAATTCCAAGTGTCCAAACTATCGCCCCATGAAGAGCAATATCTACGGCAGATTTATTGCTTAATAAACCAGTTCAAAAGAATGAAAGTTAAAGTAATAACAATTTAAATGCAATTCTTTCATCTCCCACATTCGATCCTCCACACTGGTGACCCAGGGCTCCGCTCACGAAACCTCCACGCTAAAAGCCGTCGGGATCTTTTGTGTGCCTTCAGACTCGTGTGTCTTAAAGCGCATCCTCTACTAACTTGGGTATTACATTTTCCGTAGAGCTGGCAAATTCACTCCAAAAGGTTAAAAATCCCTCTCTTTGATGGCTGGATATCACGTAGGCACGTCTCATTCTATTGTTACTCAATTTTTCGTGCAAAAAGATAAATTCCGTTTTTAGCAAACCTACTCTAGCGAAATCCGCCTAACAGAGGAGGTACTTCGAAACTTCATCTCGAATCTTAAAGAGTATTTATCTGGTGATCCACCCTTACTCTTGAGTTATTCCAATTCCGTGAAAGACTAAGGAGACTTATGGTGACTGAGACAGGAACTTAACCACAGGAAGTACTGAGGATGGCGCTAAAAGAAGAAGCCTACACACAACTCTCTGGCCTCACAAGATCCGGCCATTCGAATGATAGCAAGAAGTTTTGCCACAAGGCTCGTAGTAATGCTAACCTCAGGTCCGTACGCGCAAAAGTGCCCTCAGACATCTCTGACCGTCTAATCTGCACTCATAAAGTAGACCTAATGGGGATGATTCACGCATTTGATGCTTAACTACGGGCAAAAAATGAATTTTTACCAAAGTCCCCTTAAGTAGTGAAAGACTTGGACTAACGTAAAAGCGTAGAGTCTCTGGTGCCAGGCCAGTTGACCTCGAATGCTGTAGGCGACAGCGGTGACGAATTCTCCACCTAGACCCAGTTCAGCACAGAGTCTTGTAGCGAACTGCTCAGGCGAGTTGGCGGGTTCGGAAAGGTCCCACTCAAACTGATCCACCAACGACATGTTGCCCACGTGGATATTCAGACGCACAATCACACGAGTGTCTGTCTGGCCGGAGAGGATATTCTCCACTGGGTGCGCCGCCACCTAAAGTCAAATAAGGAGGACCACTTTAAGGTAATTCTGCTCATTTCACAAGAGTAGGTAATGGTTTTGTCAAAAGTAAATAGGTTTAACTGATGCTAGGATCATTGACAGTCAAGACAGATTTTGAACTACCACCGAATATCAGGCCCACATTATTAATTTACCGAGAGCTTAGATATAAGACGAATGGCTTTTCAGTTCTGCTTACTGGAAAACGGTCATAGTCCCATCAGACACACATGATGTGAGTAAATGCACTCCCACAAGCTGACAAAGTGATAAATTTTGCGATGGTTGGGTCGTCCAATAGAGCGGTCACACATTCTTAGTTAATAAATGCGGACTAGCTGTCAATAATGAAAAGAGGATTGATATATCCACCAGGAGGAGGAATAAGGCTCTTAGGACGCTGCCTTAGCAAATGTCAGGATTCGCCGAAAAAGTTCCCGCAAAAGCTTGTCAGTTAATCTCCACAAAAATAAGGCTTACATCTTCCTTAAGAGTATGAATAGGAAAAGTCCCAGCGCATAAATCATTCAGGAAATATCGAGTGCTAGTAAACGAATTCTCGTAGAAAAAATGGAAGTGTCTAACCTAACACCATTCGACATTGACAGGTCACCACCCTCCTTTTTACAGAGCTAGATTTCAGAGGGGAGATATTGGCGATATCAAGAGCATTTCAGAGAATAATGGTAGGGACAATAGTGTTCACCTGTTGTCGGATGGCCTGAGCAATAGCAGGCACAAAGGAGATCGGATTGAGGTCGAGATCGTCACAGAGAATCTCCGCAAACTGCTCCGGAGTGATCAGCTGCTCTGTACGGTTCCACGTAAAGCAATCGCGTAGCTTCACCCCATCGAACTCAATGTCCAATCGGATGGGGACTAGGTGCTCCGGCTGCTGGGCGTTCTCGTGGTACGCCACAGGATCCGAGTCATCCAGACAGATTGGGAAGTTGGAAACTTTGCTGCTCACCTTATCTGGAGGTGTAGTGTAGTGCAGTTTTAAAGAATACCTTCCATTAATAGTATTTGTGAGTGGCGGCTACTATTCGGATTGACGGGCAGCAGATTAGGAAGACAAGCAGACGTTATTGCTAGCATAACCTCTAGGTAGTTGGAGTAGTAGTTGGAAGTGACGATATGAAACCAAGCGTTTTGCACTGGTAGCATACGGCTACTCTAATGTCATCCTTTATGCAAATAGCCTCGCAGCCCAGCTACACTTTGAAAGCAAAGCCGCTTAAAAGCATGCATTGTGGTTTTTAGAAATAACCTGAATGTCACACCAGCGATAGTGCTATGAAACATGGCAAATGTTATCTATCCCTTGCGAAGCATGTGTGTACTTTCAGTGATGCACCAAGAAAGACTGCATCAAAGAAGACGCGCTATCCACTACGAAAAGAGCGTCGCTGCATAAAAAAATCTGACTTGAGCTATGCAATGCCCGAAGAAACACAACGGGAGGACCGAAAAAACGTATTGGCTGTTTACCAGCTAGCATAGCCCCAGGATGGGCACCAAAGGCAGCAATAAAGTTACATCCGTAATAAACAAGTTAGACTGGTAATATAAGGATAATACTAACTCACCTATCAATCACAATGAACTCAATTTATTACCAAAATAATAAAAAGGCCGAATGGAAGAGTACTAAGCCGCAAACTGAACCAAATCAAAAGCCGAAAAATGACAGTCTGGCTTAGCGATACGAAATGGATAATGAAAATCTGGAGGGTGTAACATCAGATTCCAAAACTGCACAAAAAAGTGGACGAATGGCGGAATCAAGATGAAATTTACTTTCAATACTACTTCCAGATTATAAATTGTGATCATTCAAAGAGCGTAAAAGCAGGATGGTTGGGGAAAGGTAAAAATGATTTACTAGGGACGGATCGCTACTGGCTGCAAATAGCAAACAGCCTACTAGTTCTAAGGTGGCGAAGTAATTTTACTAAGATTTGCTTAAACGATATTCCAGTAAATCAAAAATTGTCCGCAAAAATTTACTTGGTCTTGACCGAGTTGCACTCGCTCCCGCACCGATTGGTGTAGGACAGGGCACTGAGTCCAGATGGAAGGAGGTGTTTGGCACAGAACTAACCCACCGACCCGCAGCCGAACCTGCACTACGCGAACCGCTACCGCCGCTTCCACCTCCGCTGACGCTGCTGCTACCAACACCGCCGACGCCTACTCCACCACCACTACTGCCGCTACCGCCCGGCTTAAGCGGGGTGCCAGAGGAACTAGTAAAACCCTCTGCACTTGTCGCTGTGCCAGTGACTGCCATAGGAGTAGTTGACGATGGTGTCGCGGCGGTAGAACCGAAGACACTGCCGGAGAGGGAGGACGCCGTCGAGCTAGCCAAATTAGGTCGAATTGCGCTGGGAGCGATGGATCCAGTGAGACCAGGCTAAAAGGACGAAAAATGAGGGACAAGTTATAGGGAAGTAAGGCAGAGAGCTACCTCGAAGGACTTGAAACGATCCTCGCTGCCTCCGATTAACTCGTCGACTTCGATAGCTCGCAGGATGACAGCGTTGAGAGCTGTAACTGGCGTCGCAAGACCTGCAATTAAGATAAGATGGATCTTTATATTTGAAAAAGTCCGAGGAAGGGGATATCTTGAAAGAGCATACCCATAGCAATGAGCTTATCCCGTTCTTCGGAAGTGATTAGACGCTTCCATAAGTTGGGATAGCGTTTTAGGAGTTCACCACGGAAAAGACGCAGATACCGACCAACCTTTTACAAAACCGAATAATCGAGGGGTAACAAGCACATGTCTGGGTCGGTAAAACTATTCACAAATCGACTTGTGCAAAAAGTGATTTGCATTACTCAATAAACAGCAGTAACGATGCGTGGGTTCAAAAAATAACTTCTTCACAAATTATATAAATCTAACATTATGACTGGTGAGAAAATAGTAAAAGAATTCATGCCGCAATAATGCAAAAATCCCGATTATTCTAGTCAAACACAGTCGTAACGAAATTGCAAGAGTAGAATGTAAACAAATAAAGCCCACTTCGGAAGCAAGGTAATAAAATTCCCCATCAGTTTCCAACTGAAATTCAATTGGTTTTTCGCCATAGCGCAAGGCCGGCTGCATTCCAAGGAGAGGAGAAAATGGGTGGGTCAACCCAACTGCGGCGGCTAACAAAATAATATGTTGAAACAAAATTGATGGATTTCAAGTTAGCCCTGCAATGTCTTCCTTTAAAAGTTGCCCAAACTTTAAATTTTATAGGCACTAGATTGCTTTGAAGTTGCGCTTTACCTTGCTTAGACTGAAATTTAGCAAAAAATACCTAACTGAAATAGAAGAATCATTAAATTAATTAAAATGCATCCGTACAGACTCTACAACATTCATAAATCTGTGCTATTTGCATTTCTACACATTTGTTATGGGCGTTTTGCGCAAGTTTATTTCTGGGAGGACATTTACAAGCAGAACGCCTGTCAGCAGGAATATCCTATTAACCCGTATTAAGTTTCCTATATTTAAGACTTGCTCCTCTAATAAGGATAAAAATTTCCCCCTTTTTTAACAGATTTTGAATCGCAACATTTTGCTCCGTTTTTATAATACGTCCCTCCGTTATGATGCGAAAGTTATATTTTTGAACCGGAGCGTTCTCATTTAAATCATTTATGAAAAGAGTTATCTTTATTCAGCTTACACGTTATCACTATTTTGCATTTTAGACGTAGCCAAACCTATTGGGTAACAATTTAAAAACCGCTTGTGCATTCCAAATTTTGTATTCGCACTCAGAATCCAATCCACATATGCAACGCTTCATTGAAGTTGTTCATGTCGCAAATAGGAATTTTAACTTGCTAGAACACCAGTTTAGGCATTTGACGTTCAAAAGACACCCAAACGGGTTAAAGCATGTTCGCCTTCTCATCTAATCTGGCTTTTATTTCATCGGCTGTAGCTTTATCGCACAACCCACGTTGCTCCCTCTCCCATTCTACTGAGAAATCTAGAAAATCTAGATGATGCAAAGAGAGTGTACAATAATTCATTCACGCAATGCTTGGATACACAAGAGGAAAATTGATAAGAGGATGATGGCGAACAACCAGACAAACCAATAGAGAGGCTACTCGGCACAATGATACCAAACCGAACGTTCATATCTTCTATCTTTTCAACATTAGGGCCAAGGGTACATGACACATCGGCTCACAAGTTGCTAAGATTGGCATAGGGAACAGTGTGGGGAGTGCTGGTGACAGGGCGCATGGGGGAGGGTGAACGCGAGGCTAAGGACCTTGAGAGGGGCGACAGATCGGCGATCAGGGTCGATGTGGAGGCGTTGATGGAGGCCATCTTGGTGATGCCCCGATAACGTTGGTACTTGGGATTGATACCGTCGCCACTTGGTTTGCGACGGCTTGTATACTAATTAAACAATATAATGATAATGATTAAACCCTGGTTATTTGCACGGCGAGCCAACCCGCGTCCAATTTAAACGCGGGACCGGCCAGTAACAGCAGGAGGGCTAAAGGATGGAGCATGGCATCCGAAGAAAAGCCGTTTGGAAATCAGTATTTTCATGGTTACTTTTAACAAAGATACATGCACAAACCCACCAAAATGGCTAGTTAAAGGAATATTTTGAGAAAAAAGTGTAGATTTAAGCTGGGAGTTTGGGGTGTTGTTCTTAATAATTCCCCTAACTTAATCAAAACTGAAAGGGTGAATTAGACTGAAAGAATATTAGAGTAAGTTAGTCGCTTGTTTTAATAACAGTCAACAAAGGGGTTTCTTTAGTGATAATAGCTATTGTTACTGTTGTGTCGATGATTCTTATTTTGGGTGTTGAGGGCTAGTGCACCCAGATGTGCCAAAGTATGGAAATAAGTGGATTGGAAAAAGTTGCCTTTATCTGCGTCTGGCAAAACATGTGAGTTGCGTGTTTCTTTTGTTTAGAACCTGAAAAATAAGGGGAGTCAGACGCGTAGCTGCTGCACCACTAATGGTAATCCGTGTGGACGAAGAGATTTGGATGTACTTCTACAATTTCTACTCCTAGCGGACCCATTACTAAACCCAAATTATAACTAGAATTCATGCTGTATCATGGGCCATATGTTATCTACGTGTTTTAAGGGGAGAACCGACGATTTCTCCATCCTTTTTCATCAGTGAGCAGGTAAACAACCAGAAGTAATGCCTTTAGCAGCTTTGGAATTTTGTCTACAATCCTTAACTCAAATTTAAGTTGACTTTTTGTGAAGTGTTCATTAATTGTGTTTCACCGAATTATGTGGTCAAATGGGTGAGTATGAGTTGGAAAACTTGGCTAAGAAAACGAGGAAATTCACCCGGTAATGGTTAAACGTTCATATGCTATCTCCAGCATTACGGGACCTCAACGGCCAACTTACTTTAAGGGAAGTGTAAATGCACGAAACCAAAGTGAATTCCACCAGATCCTCATCTGGCTCTAACCGACTTTGTTGTTCTAGTAGTCCAACTTGAGGACCCCTAATTCGATACAAGGAAGTGGACGATTTCAAAGGTCAATGAGTATTTAAGAAATCGGAAACGCTAAAATAGAGCCAAAACGAGTTCGCGATCTCCACCCGACGATAGCGTAACACCTGCCTTTGGACGACCCACCAATGCATTTTGGACTGACACCACGGACTGCAATCACTGTCAAATTGTGGCAAAGTAAGGCATTTTCGAATAAGTGCTCATTCACATAGAACGCCTGAGAATCGACGAAGCTGAGAGTTTGAGTGGCTCACATTACACATATAGCGCTTTGGGCGATGGTTTGAATGACAAGTTACATCCTGGCAGGTGACTTTACTTAATTTTGTTCACAAATGAGCCACGTAACACATAATAGGTAGGCGGACCAGGGTTGAACCCAGGATAGCGGATAATGGTAACTACTCAAAAGCTCTTGTGGTGAGAGAAATCAAATGCATTCATCTCAAACTCGGATTGACGCAGTTGTAATATCGAAATAATGGAAGTGAATCAGCAAAGTATACAAAAGTTATTTGATTTTGCTGTAGGTGACAAATCGAGGTTTGATGGATGATGGATGGAAGGTGCAAGTATATGCCAAACAAGTCTAAAAATTATGATCCATTGTATCTGGTATAGCCCATTGCATGACAATGGCAGCCGAATGATCCAAAGGTTGCAAAACTGTCCTTGTGCACAAACTAACAAGCAAAGAGGCGTTCAAAAATGCAAACAAATCACACCCAACAATGCAAAGCACGGAGTCCAGAACAAATAAAATGTGAAATTCTGGCGGGAGGGGGGCAAAGTCCGCTGGCGAAAAATTTTTCCAGCATCCACTTTTGCTACAATTCAGGTGCGTAGAAGCAGGCGGATAAAAACTCGGCTTTTATTGCTAATGGCAAGATGTTTCTGTTTCGGATGCTACTTTTCCTCTCATTTTTACTATCTACCACTTCAAAAAAAATTCAAAGAAACTAAAATTAGGGAAAAACTTTAAGGAAAAATAGAATTACAGAAATAATTAAAACGGGAGAATCTAATAATGGCAATGGTAAAATTCAACTATTTTGGCGGATGTACTTCGCATCCAGCTGAGTTGAACGGCCATGCATTAAAATCTTATTTCTGCTCAAATGATTATTAATGCATCACGTTCCACCTGTAAAGGCTGCTAGATCCAGTAGATCCTACTACTTCCAGCTAGTAGTATCTGCATGGGTCTTTGTCGACCAACCAATCACGGACAGAAAGCATTTACTGAACTCCATCAACAGAAGTAACTAGGTGAGGATAAAGCATAGAATTCTCCACAACCTTTCGTACTAGCATCCAAAACTCTACATTAAATTATAATTTTGATTGGTGGTACGATTCCACTAACCAGTAGCACAAAAATGATGCTGTGATCTGCTGAGATGACTTATTTAAGTTAATTCAATGGCAGTGCTGCAGCCAAAAGGGTAGTACAAGCAAACATTGAATGAGGGGTTGCGGAAAAGCAACTCACCTTTACGATCGCGTGATCTGAAAGTGGGCAGAGAATTAGGGGGTAAGGAATAAAAACCACCGCGTTTATGATTTTTTACGCCAGATCACTTGTATAAGAATTATTTTAGAAGATACAGTGACATATTTGTGAGAGTTTAAAAGAAATATCTTTGCTAAAGATTGAGCAAAATAATGGTAGTTGTATCTTACTGTCTTAGAGTTAAGGAGGCAAATTATTCGGCTATAAGTAGACTTCTAAGCTAATAGAAATGGCATATTCTTCTGCTAAAATAGGATCCTAGATTTGACAAAGCTAATAACGGTCCCTACGGGGTTAGATTTATCTGAGATTCTATTGGATGGTGCATGCGAGTCGCTCGCCTATTAGCCAATTCCTAACCAATAAACTCTTGGCACTTATACATTCTGACGCATGACGAATAGCATTGGTAAAATCAATTTGCCAAATCTAGTTTAAGAAATCATCAAGCTAACTTTTCTTAAATCACTGTACAGTAACGCAAATTACCAATTCAATTTAAAATAAGCGCCTGTACGATATTCGCTACCGAATTGTCATCTACCTTTAAGACTGTTTCTACTTGTCAGCGGTATTTTTAACTTTGACGTGGAATGTCTCCTAGGCCGAATTCTATCTAGGGCACTAAGAAAAAGGAGAGCTGAGCAAAGAGTGTTTCCTATTCTAACCAGTTTGATGAAACACCATTCAAATTTCGCAGACCTACTTGGTTCCTCTAAGAACGGCTTCAAAAGTGGCACAAAAACGCAAACAGTTTCAGAAAGAAGTTGAAGACGCTTTTAAAATAGAGATCTGCCACTGCTTGGTCTACACCAGTGTCTTAACCAGAAAATGAGCCAAGTTAATCCTTCATATGAATTTAGACGGTTTTGGTCATTTTAAAGAGGTAGACATACATCTAAAAGGTAGTGGACATAAATATGGGACAATAAAACCGAAATTATTCGTTAACCAAACAGAGGATCTTTGAGGCTATCACACGCAAGAAGAGGATTCAAGTCCTGGATTAAGACAGCCTAGATAATCCTGAAGTAAATACTTAAAAGCCCTTTTGAAGAAAATTTGAATCCCCTGAACAGTCATGCTTGAAGTGTTGTTGAGGGGGTCGCCAACAAGCGCACGCAAGGTGTCGGGGCTTCGTGGACACCTCCAATCGAGTCTGACATGACTTATGACCACTTGAAAAACGAGAGCAGTCAAAGCACATGCAGCTTTGTTCCATCATTCCCACACTCCTCCTTCACAGTCCGCCCAGCCAACTAGTATGTGGTCTTAAACTTTCCATGATCATGTTGCTCACCTAACTCGTACAGGCAGAGCATTTCACACTGTTTTGAACACAATCAATCTCTGCGACATGATTTGTTACATTTACATGCCACCTATTTGTAACTTTATTGGTGAACACAACAATCATCTCACAAAGGTGCAAAAAGCACTCACCACTTCAACATCCTTCTGGGCTGTCGCAGGGGATACCAGCGGCTGTGGAGGTGGTGGTGGGGGTGGTGGTAGGGCCATCGCTTTTTCCACCTTTCGTTTGCGTCTGTCAACAGCCTCATAAAGCGATGAATCCTCCTCCACATCCTCGTCGTCGTTGGAGTAGACGCCCACTGAGGTAGGTCGCGAATTGGAGTGTGTAGGGCAGAAGGGGACGTCGAGGAGGCAGTCACCGGACTCGTCGCCCTTGTTGCCACCAGCAAAAGCGATAGGATTTAGGAGTTCACTCTTGTCATAGTAGTGGTTGCTTAGCATTGCTTCTGACAGAGGGCGACTGCGTGGTGCTGAGGGTCAAGGCAAATAAGATCATATAATTTCTGTTAATTATGGTCAGATTTGAACGGTTCGGTTAATCATGGAGAAGGGTATTTAAATACACACCTAAACCACCAGTACTACTTATGAACATTTTTCAGTAGTTTATGAGGGGTAAGAGACCCTGTGTCCGGGCATCACTACTTCTACAATGGTATTCAAGGCCACATTTTCTGCAATTCAAAAGGATTGCATCAATCCTGATTTGTCTCCCACAACAGTGGCATGGGCCCTTTTAATACTTCCTACCATGGCTACTTTTAGTCACGTACTTCTCAAAACACCTTTCAAATGGCAATTTGTAACGATTTACACTCGACGCAAGCAGGTAAAGTCCTCTCTATAGGGCATCATTAATAATTGCTGAGATTGTTTAATAGTCGTTTTAATGTACGTTTTACCGTGCGGGTTCTAGAGTCTCTGCAGGTTGTACTTTCGCCTGGTGGTATGACCTTCCAGCCGGGCTTACGGCCTCCAAGCTCTTCTCAACGGTGGCATTAAATCCTCCTCCACACTGGGCTGGCTTATTACGATTTCAGAAATGACTCAAGACCTAAAATAATTTCCATGGCATTAAATGCTAGAATTTACGGAACAAGTATTTTGAATGGAAGGTGTATTTCTTCTAATGATTAATTTAAAAAAATCAAACAAAAATTTGAGAGAAATATAACTCGTTTACAACCAAGGCTACGAAATCTAGCACTATAAAATCTGTTCAGTGCTCAACACTTAATTATTTATTTATGATTCTCACAACCATTGCCGCCGAAACGAAGGATAGATGTGATTATTCCCACTTTTTTTCCACACACACACACACACAACTCGGAACTGTGCACGTTTAGTGAACTGATATGTGCATTTAGCTACGCAAGCTTTTCAGTCATCAATGGTTTATACATCTGCTAGATGACTTAATCCCTAGATTGTGCTCATAGCCATCAAACCAGTCATCCATACTTGTGTGGTGCATTACGACTTCGGGGAGGAATTCCAATAACCGCACTAGTTTCGACTTAAAATCACTAATTATTTATTTTTTTAAAAGACATGTTTGGATTCGCTCATTATGTCATGTAGTTATTTTATTGTGTCCTCTCGTGAAATTTCAAGCAGGAGTGTTGTCAAGGCTCAAATTTACTTAAACAATAAACAAGACATTGTAGGCTCAAAATGCCTTATGAAATGACCTAAGATTAAAAGGCATATCGGTGACGTCCGTAGGACTAGTTTACAGCATGCAATGCTTCAGTTATTTATCAAAAAATATGATTAAAGTTAAGCTTAAAATTAAATTTTAATTTATCGAGAACCAACATTCTGTCTGCTCTATTGGAATAGTTAGCTATGTTTTGAATGAATGATTGAATAAACAGACAGATAGATAAATAAATAGTATTATTCGACATGAACCCCTGGAAATGGGTAAGCAGGTTTGATTCATAAAGAAAAGTGGATCTGAGATATTTTCACCACTCGGTGGATGGACTGACAATTCCGAGACGGTTGTGAAATAGATTAGCTATTAGTTTAACCCTCGGTTTTGGTAACGGGCTAATAAGGAGCTCCGCCATTGTACCTCCACTGGATGGGCTGGCATCCGAGTCATGCCAGTAGCCCCAATGCCTGTTGTATGTCTTAATTCGTCTTCAGGGAAGTCTCGGGGCAATACATTAATGGCAACAGAAAGCAAACCCGATCTTAAGGGTCACCTATTCTGGTTTCTTCGGGTGGGTACGGAAGAAGTGCATTTGCTGTGAATAGGAGAACCAGCGACGACCCCAAAGAGAAGGGCTGAAATTGACGCTTACCTTCAGCAACTATCCCAGTGACGTGGTACGTAGGAAAGGTATTAATAACTGAAGCAACACCGGCCATGATCGAGAACCATCTAAGAAAGCTAGTTACGAAGCTCTCTACCGTACCTGTAAAGAAGCATCAATCATGTAAACTTGCGACACCTCCTTCACCTGGATAGAACCTAGATGGATATGGCTGGGTAGCTCTGAATTGAGAACAAGGTGGTAAGGAGGAATAGACGTAAAAATAATTTTTCCCACGAAACTATTTTAAGCTCTATACCTTGTAATGTGACTCTGCTTTTAGGCTAATGTTCTTACAGCTACCAGTGGACATACGTGATGTCCTCCAAATTCCCCACTTCCCCAAATCAAGTTTGTATACAGGACAAAACTCCACATTTAGTTGATTTGCCAAGAGGGATCAGTGACGCTGCGACCAGGAATCCCCTTAGTTGCATGGCAATCCTATGACTGGTAAGTTTGGCTCGTGAGTGCTTTTCTCACAGCACCGATTATGTTATGATGATTGACGTAGGAAGGAGGCCAAAAGGAGCGCCAGAGACGACGCTCAAAAAAGGAGAGGGGCTATATAGCACAACGGTAGTTTTTTAACCCTCGGTTTTGGTAAAGGGGCCACTTGAGGGCACCGCCATTGCAGCTTCACCGGGTAGGCCATACCTATAACCCCAGGCTCTACTGTATATCGAATATGTATATTCTGTCCGAGTATTATGACTTCTTTAGTCTTTAGAGATGTCTCGGGGCGATACAGTTAGATAGAAGGAAAGATGAACAATGCGATGGACGAGCGGATGAATTATTAAAAATTGACTGCACTTCGGTAGATTGAAGCTTAAATACTTATTTAATTGAAATGGGAGCCAAAAAATCCACTCGACTGATTCGTGGAGCCCCCACTTTAAAAATTTTATCCATATATTCAAGTTTAGTTAATATTCCATCGTCATCCAAAACTCGCCTGTACGTTTTTTTTGCTAAAAAGCGGAATTTACCCATTATTACAACTGCTCATGTGAAAACAATGGTTTACAAAAAAAATTACGACCCATCAAAGTTTTGCGTGGTCAAATTGAGTGGTCACCTCTTCAATCACTGCGCGTAAAGTGTAGTTTTACTTTTTACAACTTTATTCATTTTCTCCAGCTTAAAACAATTTCTTAGTTTCCACCGGTACCAGTTCATTGATTGGATGACTTAAAATGACAAAATCGATGCTGACAACCTGATGGAGTCCAAATTCAAAAAAGCTGGTCAATAGCGAAGGGAATAGGTTTGAAAAGTCAGGAGAACGATATTTAATTAGAATAATTTACAGCCCACTTGAAATTAGCAAAACAATTTCCCATCTCAGTTAAAGGGACATTAAAATGACTTACATAGTAAAAGTGAAAGTGGCAAACGTGGGTTTTTAAAAAGGGTTCATTCACAGCAGAATAAAGGTGTCGACATAGTTACCCTGCTCAGTTATCTTAACTTTATTTCAGGTCAAGCGTAGATTTCGGTGAGCTTGGCCATCGCCTTCGACGACAGCCTAGTATTATCAACCTCCTAGTCTGCCTCCTGCGTGGCACACCGGCTTAAGATTATTAAATTCACCTTTCAAGATGAAGCTAGTAAGTATCCAGTGTTCGATTTTGCCCAAATATTTTGTATTTGATACACAGGGTTACCTTCAACTCATCTAATTTGGTCATGTGGAATGTAGCCGAATTCCGAGGTTTGCAAATGTCTCCTAAAACATACAAACTTCGCAACGCTTTCGCCAGACTTGCGGCATCAATAGAGACGGTAATACAAAAATAATATACTTTCAAAATTATAAGGCTTGACATCTTTTCAATAAGATCAAACGGGATCAGTGGAAAAGGGAGGTTTCAATTTACTTTATGGCAAACTAGTAAAGATAAACTAAAGATCGTACTAATGACAGGATGAAAAAGTTACCCCATTGCAGTTACTCAGCTGATGGGTTTGTCTTCTTGGCTCTACTTTAAGGAACTGTTTGTTCACCTCCCTTAATCTCGATGAAATGAATGCAAACCACCGCCTAAACGTTCCCAAATATCCCGCTCAAAAGTGGAAGAAGCAACATGCCACTCTCCAAATAGACCTCCCGTATACCCTAAATAAAACCACTTCCACAGTTGTGCCCCTTATGACGTCGTTGGGAATGGCTAAATCGTTGCACGTATGCTTGGCTTGGTAAACTAACATGCCGTACGAAAAGGTCGAAAGGGTTGGTGTCTGAATAAACGGAGACTGACAGCTGAAGGTTTGTGAAACCACATCGAATTTTGGCAGTCACTTCAAACCTCAGTTCCCAGTTTAGTATTAGAGTAAAATTAAATTTGCATGAAAGAGAACCACCAGTTGAAGAAATGCTCAAAATGCGAGTTTGAGGTCAAGTAGACATGAAGTGAATTTGAAAGCGCCACCGATAATCCCTCCGCTGTTGCTTTAAGGTCGAATTTTGAGCAAAGAACTGTCATTACATGAGACTTTTTCATTGTAGAACATGCTCTAGCCCTCACTACTAGTAACATTCTCACTAACAAGGCATTCGGTAGTTAGGAATCCCATCATAATTATTAGCAAAATAAGGGACATAGTTTATTGTTTGCGATTAAATACAACCTCCCGGAAGACTTTTAGCAATCCAAGCTGAAGAGTGGCCATGGCGAGTGCAGGAGACGACGCTTAGGAAAATGAGCCGTTTGTGTGGTAGAATGATCCTTTTAACTGTGTATTTAACTACGCACTCCTTTCCAGTCTTCTCTGATTCGGCTTTCATATTGGTTGCATGAAGCTTTACAAATGGCCATTCAGCCCTTCCCTACACTTGCAACCCGAATGAGAGGTCATGTTGTAAAAAGTGGATTAAAATTTGATGCGGAAGGTAGCATAAGCACAGAAGGTGCCAATTATGGTGCTCAAAATAGCACTGCTTCGTCCGGACTCTTCCGCGAGCCATTTTTAGTGCTGGTAACGTAAAACTCAAAGCCAGTCCTTCCACTCTGCTACGCGTTCACAGGAGAGCTGCCTCCAGAATCGTATGCCTGACAACATCTTCAGGAGGCAACTCGAGAGCTACGATGGGCTCCATTGAAGCCACCCGTGGCACCAATCATCATACGTTGAAAATAAGGCGACATTACGAGTCATCATATGCAACTCAAGCAATACAAATAATGATAAACAAGACTCACAAGGTGGACTGAGACGTGGTCTTCGAATGACCCGGTCATGTCGATGGTCATGGGATCGTTGACCCTCATCGTAAGTGAAGTAATCGGCCGCAGAAGAAGTGTCTTCCTCGAAGGATGCATCCCCAAGGGAGACTGTGGGGTCACTGACAGCGATGGGAGCTCCCTCGGGTGCCTTGACAATACTGCTGTTACTTTCACCATATCCACCACTGCCGTCCCTCGTGGATGTCTCGCCTTCAGCTGCTGCATTAGTAGAACCGCCATTTCCACCGTTTCCTGTGGAAAGAGAGGGCCAACTTGCCTGATGACCTGTGTCAGAGTCTGAAAAGAAGAGACGGTAACTTATCTCACCGTTGCACTTCCAGTATTATATTCTTCCCTCATGTTATCAGTCCATCCTAGACCCATCCATCCACCCTAAATCCATCTATTCAATCACTCATTTATTCGGCCTCCAAGCGGTCATTCCTTTAGTAGCCTTGAATTCAACGAACAAAAGAAATATAATTTACCTGTAATTACGTTTTATTTTCTCACATTCTTCAACACTTTTACGATCTACTTCCCCTTTTATGGTTTTCTTTAAAATGTTTATTTTTCGTAGTTATGTTAGGTAAACTAACCGGTTGTGCTTTTGACTTTGATATTCCTTAGTTCCAAATGCAAAGAAGGTATTTAGAGGGGTTAAGAAGCAACATCCTTAAGGTACATTCTGCGAAGGTAATGCCTCAATTTTGTCAAAAATCTTGATGGTGTAAGAGCCTTATCCATAACTCCACATCATTTATTGGACCAAAAGCATCTGCGTTGACAAGTGTTATTTGCAGTAGGGACTAAAAACTTTGTTGAGGTTATGTAAATCTAGGGTGAATTTTTTGGTCAATTGGCTAAAGATCATCATCTTGCTCCACACCTCAATATCCTCAGTTGTCCTAAATCCTCCATTCCTTTTTCACGGCCTACTTTGGGACTGACATTTAGAATTCACCCTCTGCTCTACGAATTGCAGAAACAACTTTGTGTTAACTAGAATAATTATTAATTTGCTTATGACTTATTGTTACTTTTATTCTACACGCCTCCCACTTTTGACTGACTTGGTGAGTATACAATACCTTGACTGTTTGTTTGACTCGGTGTTTTAATTACGCGGGCACATAAGGTCCCGCCACTTTACTCCCGCTTGTCGGCATGGCCTCTAAACCATGTCGAAATACTCAGTTCTCCTGTGCATCAATGACATATCTTCCGGCATACTCCTATGGTTTCTTCCGATTTTAAGGAAGACTCGAGGCGCTAATATCGGTGGCAGTGACAAGCAAACCTGATGCCAAGGGTAAAAACACCCTAATTTTTATTGCTAAGTGCTAAATATTAACGTGATAGAAGAGAGAAGACCCTGGAATCGAGGCCTACCTTTGACAATACCTCGATCTCGTGTTCTCCTAAATTATCTGGAAAAGTTCGTTAAGCAGCAGTCAACGTCACCTTTACGAAGATGTCAGCTAAGTACATACACGATACCTCTTCTAGCTGGATAGGACTCAGACAGGTAAATGGCTTTGCAGTGCTGAAATGAGAGCAATGTAGCAAGGAGGAACAGATGCGAAACAGTATTCCCACGAAACTGTTTTAAACGCCGTTTTTTTATTAAAATGACTGCTTTTGATTCAATATTCTTGGGACTAGTGATGGGCATACGAGATGGCTAACACATTCCCCCTACCCCTAAAATAGTTTTCAAACAGGACGAAACTCCAGATTCAGTGGAATTGCCTAGGCGGATCAGTGATGTCGCGGTTAAACGTCGTCTTGATTGTGCACCACTTCGATGACTGTCGTGGCTGGTTTATTGGTGTTTTTATCATAGCACTGACTACGTTGGGATGGCTGACGAGGAAGGTTGGCCATGTGGAGTGCTTGAAAGAAAAGAGGGGCTGCATAATACTTTGATTGTTCGTTCAACTCAGTGTTTTGATTATACGGTCGCTTAAGGACCTCGTCATGGTCCTTCTGATCGCGGGCTTCGCCTGCGAGCCGTGCTGATAGCCGCAGCATGATAAATGTGCCTTCCGGCACACTCCCATGACTCATGCCGACTTCAAGGAAGACTCAGGGCACTAAGGGTAATTACTGTTTTGAATATGGGTTGCAATTGCAATGACTTAGTTAAAAAAATACAATTTACTAATTACAAATCAGGAGAATTCAAATTATTTCCGTTAACTTCTTTGAAGTATATTTTAAGTCCGAATCCAGCTTCTTATTAAAGTACATCAACTCCCAGCTTTCCATTCAATTATGATTTAAATTTAATTTTGTATTTCCTTGGGTAAATCGGACACAATTTTGAGTGTTTTACACAAATCTTTATTTCTGAAAACAAATCTATTTATCTAACATACAGATACGATTCTATTGATAGTAGCTTAATCATCTTTGTCTCTTCATAATAAGTCTTTAATGCCCTTTATAGCTAAGAGTAAATTTTATAAACTCTACGAAGGAATGTCACAACATCTCGTTTATTTTGGTACTATCCTCAAACTACAACTTTATTAAAGACAGATCAATAATTTACAAGTTATTAAAAATTGATGGTTTAACCAATAATTAGGAAATATTTAATTAATTATCTGCCAGGGATAACTCACGCCAAAGAAGTATTAAAGCAATTTCACAAAAAAACCACCCAATCAAGTGCTCAAGCATAACAAAAATCTGTACTTGTGACACGCAAGATTTTGCCGTTCCCACCCTTTTCAAATCAGCTGTTAATTTTTGGATGATCGATGTTTGGTGGTTAAGAGAAAAATCAATACCCAGTGCATATGGTGTGTTTTTAACACTCCCGCATGCCGGGATAGTCGACCGATTGATTGATAATATCTGTCTAGTTAACTCGAATGATCAATGATTAGTGAATATGCTCTCGGTCGATAATCAGCTGAGGGCTAGTGACCAATAGGATTATTTCCTCTCGAATAAGCCGAATAGATAGGTTTTAAAGGCACTATATGGAAAGGGTTTCTTTAAAGTGCGACTAACCCTTCACCATTCCCTAATACAGTTATCATAATTACGCAATCTCCCACGGTTCTCCATAGTCAGCTGACAGCTTAAAACCATTTAAATCTAATCATCTGACTGTTGTAAAATGAGTGACGTTAATTCTTTATTAACCACTTAGCCTCATGTTGAGCAAAAGGATCTTAATTTGTCGAGTCTACACCGTATTTAATATGATGAATTGTCTCTACCACCTAAACTGGTCAAATTGGAGCAAAGGAAGTTGGATATCCACATAAAGACTTGAATGCGATACGCAAAAGAAGTTTGTAAATTTTAATGGGAAAAATTGGCAATTGCTATGAAATGGATTTAAAAGTTTTCAAGTGTCAAAACCGGATCATGAATAAAAGTCGACCAATACTACTTAATTAAGCGATTGAATAAAATGGAAAATCATAGCTTAGAGGGCGAGCTGTTATTTGAAGTAATCACCTGTCGTTCTCACATTTAGGCTGGACTTCAAGGCATTTTATTTGATGTGAATCGCAAAAAATGCATTCTTTTTGACATGTACGTAACAGAAGTGCGCCAAAGGGAAATCCCCCAACTTTGACAAAACTGACGTAACACATGGATTGCCTGATCGCTCACAACCAATCAATTTAATCCAAATTAATATAATTCAATTCCTTAAAACAGAGCAGGAGCAGTTTTGCATCCAGATTACTGTGGTTTAACGATTACTTACGTATACCGACTTAGCGGTGTGTTCGTAGTGGCCCATTTTGATGTTTACCTAACAAAATCTGATTAATTTCTGCAGATCTGGCAAGATCACAAGAGTCGAACCTTCAGAGAAGGTGCCACCGGATATCACCTCAGTGACAGAGAGATCTTCAGCCGCGGGGATGGTGTCTGACCGCCCCAAAGAGTCCACACCGTCGATGGGCTCTAAATAGGTATCCATATTGAGGGTTGCCGTTTTCCCATGGGGTCCCTGGCCCTGCGAGTCAAAAAACAGAAATTATTCATCCACAAAACGCATAAAATGCAAGGGAGACAGAAGGAATGAACGGACGGAGAAAGAAATGGAAAAGGGATGGAGAGATAAATGAAGGAGTAGATGAGTAGTCTAATAATTTGATAGGTGGAAGAATGTGGAATGGACAGGTGGATTACTTGATTAATGGGTAGATGGTGAGTAGGTAGGTGGATAGATGTGAAGAATTAGACAAATGGTGCTAAACTTACCGACAAAGAGTTGGATTCCTGCTGCTGTTTGTGCAGTTGTTGATTTTGCTGCTGATTGGTGTTGAAGTAATGGGGATGAAGAGGTGGCAGTGGGGGCAAAGGGGTTGTCTTCCTCATCCCTCGTCTCGCTCCACCTCCAAGTGTAGCGTTTGCGACGTTGGTGGGAGTAGTGGCTTCTCTCTGCTGATTGTTCAAATGGCACATCGAGGAGTCGACAAGGTACACTGGAGCCTTGCGATCCACCGGGATCTGACCTAGGCTGCTTCGACCCAGTGATCCCAGCGGAGAGGGGACTGTGATGGGGAGGGGGGGGTGAAAGGGAATGCAAAAGTTGGTAGTGACTATCTGTTATTACCAACACCTAGTGGTAACGATTCATGATTTATGTGTATTTCCAGACGCATTCTTTATTATTCTTGCAGAGGAACGGGTAAACAACGAGTAGAATTGAAATGTCTTGCATACTCTACCTCTACGGCACCAGTCGCCCATTTTTTCTCTGCACCTGAATGATAAATTACTTCCAAGCTTGCACTCTTCAGGACTGGGTACTCAGTAAACATAAATACAACCAAATTTTCCCTCTTTGCTAAATGTTGAAAGACTCTTCTGGTTTACTCACTGGGCTGAATAGTAACATCCGAGGTGTAGCTTGATCTCGATTGAGCGGAGCTGAATAGGCCCACTGAATTAGCTGTGGAGGTAGGGGAGGAAGCGAAAGAGGCGGAAGGCCAAGGCCCAGCGAAGTTTTTCCGTCTTGCCGCCCCTGGCGTTGCCATCGTTTGCTGGTGATGATTGCCATGGTTACTATGGTGACCGTTGAAGGATGCAGATGATCCACTCATGGCAGAACGAATAAAGGTTGAGAGACGCTTCAGTCCACCTGCGACACCGCCTTGGGGCTTCGATTTCCAAGGAAGGGTGGCCGAAAACACCTAAAAGAGGGTAAGAAGCGATGTGGAAGATGTTTCCGGTAAGGGCCCGACAAATGTCTTAGTAACTTTGATGATCTATCAATTCATCTACCGATCGCGGTGCCTGCCCTCCTGTCGGAAGTTTTGTTATTATGGCTACCTGTTTATCTGTCTCTGTGTCTGTCCATCGTTCCATCTTTCTAGTTCAATCATTATGGCATTACATTTAGTTATTAAATACGAAAGGTCTGAATGGATTAGAAAGGTCAAGCATTAGGAGATGGATGTTACTTCATAACATTTCATATCACTATTATAAACGCAACAGGTTTTGTCATGCGACAATAATCCTTGGAAGTACTTTGGAGCCACCTTGACAAGATATAGACAAATCTGTGTTTTAAGCTGATTTGAATCAACCTCTCTTTGCAAGACGGACCGTTCAGCAACGTCTTTGAGTATGTACGGAACTGTTGATTCTTCTTAATCACTAATTCATTTCCTTTCAGACTCAATAGGCTTAACATCAAAGTCCCTTTATTTAATGTAATTTGACAAGTGAAAAGCTCTCCAGATGTTCAGTTGCAGTTATAACCATAAGGAGGAAACTCCAGCCTGATTCTCGTATTCAGAACATCAAAAGTAAAGTTGACACTAGACTGGAAACAGAATTATCATAAAAGGATGACGAAGCATTAGTATATTTAATTTAATACCGTTTGGACTAGAAATTGACTCTTAAAACCGCTGCAAACCTTTCTTTCAGTTAATACATGGGCACTAAGAATGATCTCAATATTCACTTGAACGCTCTTAAATCCATGTCCGCTAATTTGTCAAACAGTCTCCAATTAAACCTTTAATTCGACACTTTTAAACTTAGTTCTCTTTCCTTATTCACTTACCTGATTAACATCAGGGGTTTCAGTGAAACCCTCTGCGAGTCTATCTGCGGACGCTCCACAATATCCCATCGTAATAGTTGGCGATGGCTGCCCGGCTGACACATTGGTCGTCACCGTGTCCGCCGATAGTAGAGTTTGCCTTTGAGTGCTTAGTGACGTCGAATTTGGTGTAGTCACCGAAGAGGGTGGTCCAGGCTGCTGTTGGGCGTCTTGCACAGCACTTGCTGCCTGTGTCGACGAAATGGAAGGAGGCGGAAGGCGTGAAAGGGAGGGTTTCGAGGCATGAAGGTTGCCAAGTGAGACTGCGGCAGATGTGGGTTTTACAACACTGATGCTGGAACCGTTGAGCCAGTGTTGAGGATGGTGAGGAATGGAGACGGCGGATTGAGACATTATAACGGTAGGATGGCGGGAGGGAGAGAAGTAAGGGTTCTTGCGGTGACGCGAAAAGGTGAGGGAACCCGAGAGGGTGTTCATGAACATTCCAGAGCCAGGGAATCGACCAGGAAGAGTATTGCTAGTCACCAACTTGGAACGAACCGTTCGTAAGAGCCTACAATTTGTTAGTGGGAATCCGTCTCGTTCAGAACTTCTGGCGCCACAGCCCACAACAAATGCATTACTAGAAATCTTATTAGTTTTTTTCCTGAAATTTACTGAAATCCTTGCACAAATTGCACTTTGGGAAAATCACAGATGGCTGTTAGTTGTGTAGCCAATCAAAAAATATGGCAATAATTCCTCAAAACCTTATCGGTTGTCAGTTTGCTAAGGGGACGCATTAGCCCATGCTCTATCACAGAAGACGCCTCTAAAAAGCGAAAAATGGAAGGAAATTTCAATTGATTTTTGCCTCAAAATTCGTCTTTTTAAGCTATTGCTCAAATGTGTAGTAAGCAGTGAAGATGATTGTAGTAAATTTATACCAGATTTGAAAATATACAATGGTTAATTGAAAAAAAATGTTCCATATTTCGAGTGGATCCTTTTGAAAGATTAAAGCACACCATGCAAGAAATATCCGTATTTTACAACTATTTATGTTCATTTATTCTGCATATTTTCTTAAAACTAAGCAATAAGTAATGCAAACAGAATTTAAAAATTCCACCATATATTAGCCTTATAATAATTTTTGGTCTGTTTCTTCTTCCATTAAATTATGACTGACTGTGAAAACTAGCTAGTACCCTTGATACCACGTGAATAAGTGTAAACTAGCAGGAGGTTCATAGAAATAACGCAAATGGAAGCAAATTTACCTCTGGCGGAAAATAAAGACGACGATTAAGAGAATGAGGAGACACAAAATGAATCCAAATATTGCACCCATTGCAGCTAAAAGTTGAGGAAAAAAGTAGCATAAACATGAATCTTCCGCATTTTGTGAACAAATTTCACAAGGTTAGCACAATCTAGGTTAATGGCACAAACAAGATCGAAATAAGTCGTCAAGTTGTATACGGCCGTGAGCCTTCACTAAAATGACTGCTTTATCTGGGTTAAAAGGAAAACGAGGGTCTTCAGCATGGCACCTAGCGCACACCCACGCGCTTTAGCTACTTGTGATTAATTGAGCGTCGTCTGTGTTATTACTGGTGAGGCATGAGAAATGATGCATCACCTCCATTCTCCTAACAAAGTGCCAAAATTTTGAATGGAAAGCAGTAACACTACAATTTTTGAGCTATCAAAATCGGTCAAGAGATCGGTTGAAAAGTAAAATTATTTGATAACTCCGTTCTTTCTACTTACTGTTTCTAATGCGGTGTGGAAATTTTAGTGCTATTTCAGAAAATCTTCCTTCTGCCTTTGATTTCCATTTCATCGTTTTAATTGATCAACGACCTAACTAATCGAGTTCTAGGACAATGGCGACGCTACAGCAAGTGCCCATAGTGCACTCGCACCGATCAATAACCATCGATTTTCTTTTCACTGAAGTTAGTGAATGTGAAAACAAAGAAAAACGTGAAAATCAATACGGTGTTTCCAAAAGGCTGTTAGACCATACCAAAAATACGGAATTTGATGTTATTAACGAAAAGTGCCAGCGATGCCTTTGAATCTGCGTTGAAAGCAAAAATTGCATAAAATAAACATTTAACCCATTTTTTTACAGCGCCCCTAGATTTGATGTACTCCTCGTTGTTTGGTGGTATTTTGGTATTTGCAACGTTTGCATATTTTTAGACTGATTTTGAAGAGGTCCTATAAAAAATACATAAGGCCTAATTTGATCAGTACCGTTCCATTATTTGCAGCGTTGCCTTGGTAATAGCGTTCATTTTTAAAAAAACTACGGGTCCAATTTATGCGGTGACTAACCAGCGTCATTAAAAAAGCCAAAAAAACTCGTAATATAAACCCATTTTTACAGCATGACTCCAAATAAGACTATTCAATGGCAATTAAAAAAATACAATCTTTTAAATTTTTTTATTAATCTGATATCGCTATCTGATGGGAGCATTTAGGCATGATGAAATTACACTGCCACGGCAACTACGAAATTTTATACCTAAAGGACTACTATTTACTTTCCTTCATCAGTTTGGGGCTTGAAACTTTACATGGAACACCCAGGACAATATCCATTTCCCCAATTGATTTGAATGCCTACCGGAGGATCCATGAGACAGGCTGGCGTTCTCTGCAGCGCTACTGTTGCTCCTATCAATCTTTGAAGGCGATTTTAGGGGGTCAGTGAGGACTGATGCCTCAGAAGTTGTGCTTGGCATTGTCATGGCGGCGACAGTGGTATTCGTTGTTGTTGCTGTAGTCGTTAAATTGGTGGTCTTTATTGTTTCCTTAACAGCCTCTGTCGTGTCAGGTGGTGCTATTGTAGTTGTCTTGGAATTCAGCAGTGCCTTCAAGACGGCATTAATCTCCTCACCTGAAAAGCAATTATGGGTAATATTGTGGATGAATTTTATGAATTGCCAACAAATTAGTCATTATGATTTCCTGCCAGCCCCCTACCCCACGTCATTTTGCAGTAATTTGACACAGGTGACATTTCAAATCCATGCCTGGATTTTTTTCATTACTTCACTTACAACTCGCAAAGCGATTAGTTGTCCTTTTTTCTCTGCTATTATGAAATGCACCATATCACTAAGAGGTAGCAAGTTTAAATGTTCGTAATCTCCTATAACTCGAACAAGATCTTGTAAAAATCCTAAATTTGTTGTTCCCCTTAGGAGAAATCAATTTTGGGGAGAGTTGACAGTTGGAGTAGATGTAAAATTTCCAGTTCCACTAAAACAAAATTGTCTCGAGGATGGAAAGGTCTGAGACAGGCTAAGTGGTGCAGTAGACTAGAGGAAGCTGCAAAACCTTCCAAAATTGAATCCATCTAATAAATAAAAGTAATAAATGAAACAAATACATGCAAGCGGCGTTTCTATCATTTTAGGGACACCGCATCTAAAACAGGTTGTTCAAGCTTACTGCAAAAGACTTTGTAGCAGCGATTGAATTGATCAATTTGAAAGGTAAAAACTCGTAGATTTTGATAACCAACTTTCCTTCGACACACTGACAGTCTAGGCAGCTCACCAGACCGTATTCTATTTCAAATGAAACATTTTTGAACTAATTTTAAAGATATATTTTCTAAAAACCATTTTAATTATAAAGGTAGATAAGTTAACTTGCGTTTGTCAATTAATCAATTTACCGATAATTGCCAACGATTTTTGATTAGGAAGTAATAAAATCGATAGGGGGACTAAATTTGTAAAAAATGGTGCTATAAAAGGCATTGGACTTAAATTTACTCCCGATAATAATTGTTTCTAGAGAAATTTTATCTAACTATGAATAGGTCATTTTATTGTCAATTATGACACCCGTCGTGGCACGAAGCAATACTGTGGCGCAAACAAGTAATCGGAAAGAGTTTAACGAACATGATGTCTGGTGAGAAATTGGTGTAGCTAGCTAGTAAATGCACGAAACAATAGACTGTTTTGGTTAGTTATTTGACTGGGAAGTTCCCATCTGGCAGGTGCTCCAGTTAATTTTGATAACAAACCCAGTCGTATGCCACGTAGGGGGTCCAAAATCAGATTAGCAATATTTGGTTGATTGTCAAGTTGCGATTGATTTGAGCCGATATGGGAAAGGTAGGAAAAAAAAACATCACTAAGTTACTACTAAAACACTGTTTAGTGAGGCAGAAATTAAGTATAGAAATACCCGACATGCCTGTACAGTCAGGAACATGGCACTCTCATACATCTTCCGTCACTCGGTTGTGACAGTAGACCTAAACACTTGTCTTCAAGCATTAAGATCCCATAAATGGCCATTTAAAGCCCAATCAATGTAAAATTACTCAGATAAAGTTAGATGTTAAACCCCCATCAAGTACAACTTACTTTCACCTTTTTTCATCGTTGTTCAATAGCTTGGTGTCAGTTCAAGTTCGCCCACATGGCACTTGACTTGTTTGAGATTAAGTAAAATTACTTGCAAAGATTAACAAAAAAATACTCTAACCATCAGAAAAGGTATTTTATGCACTGCGAAGTGAGTTACTTGACAGCCGAGTACTTCGTTACTTGATGTTTCAAGCATCTGTCTGCAGAACCTCATTATTTCATTCCGCTTGGGAATAATTATAATAAAACGAAAAAGATGATTGCAATTAATCGGTAACTGAATACAATTTTATTCAAAAATCTAGCCGGTGAATCCAAAAACAGCTTCAAATATCAGCTAACTTTACATTTTACATCC